GGCTACTACTATGTTGCCTAAGATGGTCTTGAACTCCCGGGCTCAAGTGATCCTCCTGCTTCAGCCTTCTGAGTAGCTGGGATTGCAGGCATGGGCCACCAATTTCTTGATCATGCTTAGCAAACCCCCTTAGACCGACAGCGCCAGATGAATCTCCTTGGCCCAGAAACAAATAGAAAAATAAAACTAAACATGTATGACAGACACATAAAGAAGATACACTGTAAATGACATGGGAAGGGTCAATATTCTTAATTGCTCATGTATTTCATTAACACTTTTTGAAGCAACTTCAGATTTGGAAACGGTTTTGCTTTTAGGGCTTAATTTTTATTCATTTTCTTTTCTTGGAAGACAGGGTCTTGCTCTGTTACCCAGGATGGGGTGCAGTGGCATGATCTTGGCTCATTGCAACCTCCACCTCCCAGGTTCAAGCAATCCTCCCACCTCAGCCTCGTGAGTAGCTGGGACCACAGGTGCATACCACCACATCCAGCTAATTTTTTGTATTTTTGATAGAGATGGGGTTCCAGCATGTTGCCCAGGCTGGCCCCGAACTCCTGAGCTCAAGTGGTCTGCCCGCCTCAGCCTCCCAAAGTGTTGGGATTACAGAGCCACTGTACCTGGCCTTCACTCATTTTCATTTTTGTCAATTTGGTAGGTAGAAAACGGCTTTTGTTTTAGGTTTAATTGGCATTTTTATTTTAATTTTTATTTATTGAGACTGGGTCTGGCTGTGTCACCCAGGCTACAGTGCAGTGGTATGATCTCAACTCACTGTAACCTCCACCTTCCAGGTTCAAGTGATCCTCTCAACTCAGCCTCCTGAGTAGCTGGGACTACAGGCACACACCCCCGCACCAGGCTAATTTTTGTGTTTTTTGTAGAGACAGGGTTTCACCATGTTGCCCAGGCTGGTCTCAAACTCCTGGACTCAAGCAATCTTTCCGCCTTGGCCTCCCAAGGTGCTAGGATTACAGGCATGAGTATCATGCCTGACCTGGCATTTTAATTATTAACTTATTAATGAGTTTAAATGTATCCTCAAGTATTTATTGGGCATTTCTATCCCCTCTGTGAGTTGCCTGTCTTTTGTTAATTTTAGTGTAACGATATTTATCTTTATTTTGACACGTAAGAATAGCTTATTTATGAACGATGTTAGCCCTCAATCTAGGAAATAATTCTCATGGCTATTTATTTTTCTTTTAAATTCATTTTTTATTTTTATTTTTTTACCATGCAGAAATGTTCAATTTTTGAGTAGTTAAATGCATCAGTCTTTTCTGTTACGGTTTCTACTTGTAAATCGTGCTTAGAAAAATCATTCCCACTTCATGGATATAAAATTATTCACCTAAATTTTATTCTGTTAATTTTATGGTTTCATTTTTGACATTTAACCTTATAATTCGTCTTTCATTTATTTGGGTGTAAAGGTTGACAGGGATCCAGTGACTTGCCATTGCTAATATTAATTTCAAGTCACTATCACCTAGGGCAGTGGTCTCCATGTTTTTTGACTCCAGGGACTGGTTTCCTGGAAGACAGTTTTTGTATGGATGAGGTGGGGGGTGGAGGGTAGATGGTTTTAGAATGAAACTGTTTCATCTCAGATCATGAGGCATTAGATTCTATAAGGAGTGTGCAGCTGAGATCCCTAGCATGTACAGTTCCCAGTGGGAGTCACACTTCTCTGAGAATCTGGCGCTGCTGCTGCTGTGGCAGGAGGCAGAGCTCAGGTGGTAATTCTTGCTTGCCCGCCGCTCCCCTCCCGCTTGTGGCCCCATCCCTAACAGGCCACACATTGGTACCGGTTCATGGCCTGGGGACTGGGGATGCTTGCTCTAGGGTGAACGTGGATTTGCCCGTGCAAAGATGGTATACTCATTGTTACGGGGTTGTGACATCACCATTTGTTGACCACTCTATGCATTATTCATCTGTTAGACATTAAGTTATATGTATGCTTAACTCTGTTTCTGTACTTTTTTTTTTAGTCGGGGGGGGATGGAGTCTCACTCTGTCACCTAGGCTGGAGTGCAGTGATGTGATCTCAGCTCACTGCAACCTCCACCACCCAGGTTCAAGCAGTTCTCATGCCTCAGCCAGCTGAGTAGCTTGGATTACAGGTGCCAGCTACCATACCCAGCTAATTTTTGTATTTTCGGTAGAGTTGGGGTTTCACCATGTTTCCCAGGCTGGTCTCGAACTCCTGACCGCAGGTGATCCACTTCTGCTTCTCAAAGTGCTGGAATAATAGGCGTGAGCCGCTGTGCGCGGCCTTTCTGTACTCTTTATTCTGCTTCCCTGATCTGTTTCTTTTGGTTTCAGTATCATACTATTTTTGTTTCTATAGCTTAAAAATACATTTTTCCTTTTTCTTTTTTGAGATAGGTTCTCACTCTGTCACCCAGACTGGAGTGCAGTGGCATGATCTCAGTTCACTGCAACCTCCATCTCCCAAGTTCAAGCTATTCTTCTGCCTCAGCCATCTGAGTAGCTGGGATTACAGGCGTGTGCCACCATGCCCCACTAATTTTTCTATTTTCAGTAGAGCCGAAGTTTCATGATGTTTCCTAGGCTGGTCTCAAACTCTTGATCTCGAGTGATCCACCCACCTCTGCCCCTCAAAGCTCTGGGATAACAGATGTGAGCCACTGCGCCTGGCCTTTCTGTGCTTTTTGTTCTGTTAAATTGATCTGTTTCTTTTGGTTTCAGTATCTTGTTTCTATAGCTTAAAACGGCTTTTTTTTTTTTTTTTTTTTTTTTTTTTGATATGGGGTCTCCCTCTGTTGCCCAGGCTGGAGTGCACTGGCGTGATCACGGCTCACTGCATCCTCAACTTCCTAGACTCAAGCGATCCTCCCACCTCAGCCTCCCAAGTAGCTGAGACTACAGGCAAGCACTACCATGCTTGGTAAATTTTTACATTTTTTGTAGAGACAGGGTCTTGCCATGTTGCCCAGGCTGGTCTTGAACACTTGGGCTGAAGCAATTCGTTGTTCCCGCTCTCCCAAAGTGCTGGAATTATAGGTGTGAGCCACCTTGCCCAGCCAAAAATACATTTTTGGTGGGTCACCTGAGATCTGGAGTTCAAGACCACCCCAGCCAACATGGCAAAACCTTGTCGCTTTTAAAAAATAAAAAATTTAGCCAGTGCGGTAGCTCACATCTATAATCCCAGCACTTCAGGAGGCTGAGGCAGGTAGAACACCTGAGGTCAGGAGTTCAAGACCAGCCTGGCCAACCTGGTGAAACCCCATCTCTACTAAAAATAAAAAAAGTAGGTGGACCTGGTGGCAGGCGCCTGTAATCACAGGTATCAGGAGGCTGAGGCAGGAGAATCACTCGAATCTAGGAAGTGGAGGTTGCAGTGAGCCGAGATCACACCACTGCACTACAGGCTGGTGACAGAGCAAGACTCCATCTGAGGGGGAAAAAAAAATATATATATATATATTTATATCTGAAGGATACGTCCCTCCTTAGTCTTCCTCTTCATTCCCTAGCAGTTTGGTATTTGGCATAATTTTCAAAATTTACTTGATTATTTTATCACATTAAATAACATACCTGTCTCACTGGGAGAAGCAGATTTAACAAGTCTTAATAATACATAGAAGGAGCTTAGAATAGTGCCTGTTAAGTAAATAGCCAGTAAGGTTAATTACTATTTTTCAGTGACAGAAGTCCAACTCAAGCTATCTTTTGGGGAAAAAGTGGACTTTATAGGTTCATATAACTGATACCTGCAGTGTGGAACTTGGCCCAGAGCTCTAGATGGTTTCTGCATTTCTCCACGTGGAGGATGCTCATAGCAGAGGACTCTGCCTCGGAGGCCAGCAGCCCCAGGAGGAAGAGGGTATCTTCCCAAAGCCCTAGTGGAGAAGTCTCGGGGAAGGTGTGAACTGAACTAACTTTGCTCAAAGGTCAATTTCTGAGTCAAACGCTGGTGAGGGTGGGTGTGCTGGCCACTTAGCCCTCTGGTCAGCCCTGCCTGAGTGGTGTGGAATGGGCTCTCTGCAGGAGAGGGTAATTCTGCCTGTAGAAGGAGGACAATGGGATACTGGTTAGAAAAATTATCTTTCCTTGCGTATTAATTTCTTGAAGTACTTCTTTGTTGCCTCTATATATGGTCCACATTATTAGTAAGTTCTTATTTAAAAAAAAAAAAAAAAAATGGAGCTGGGCAAGGTGGCTCACGCCTGTAATCCCAGCACTTTGGGAGGCTGAGGTGGGTGGATCACGAGCATAGGAGTTCAAGACCAACCTGACCAACATGGTGAAACCCCGTCTCTACTGAAAATACAAAAAAAATTTAGCCGGGCATCATGGCATGCACCTGTAATCCCAGCTACTCAGGAGGCTGAGGCAGGAGAATTGCTTGAACCTTGGAGGCAGAGGTTGCAGTGAGCCGAGATCATGCCACTGCACTCCAGCCCAGGTGACAGAAGAAGACTCTGTCTCAAAGCCGGGGGGAGAGAGATTGCCAGACTTCTGCTTTTACTGCCCAGCGTATCTATCAGAGTTCATTTGAAGATCATGGAAACCTCTCTGCTAGTTTAGGCAAGGAAAGGATTAATACCAAGAATTAGAGAATTTACTGCTAACTGGGAACTGTAGGAGCAGGCTCTAGGCCAGGTGCTCAGAAAGGACTCCCAAAATCATGCACAGAACTGGCTTTCCGAGGAGCAGCTCCTCATGCCACTGATGGTCACTGCCCCATTTGCTAGCTGCAGATTCAACTGTCTCATACACGGTTTGTAAAAGAAGAAGCCACCACCTCACCTATTGGTTCTGGGACCTCATCACCACCTGAGGCACCTGCCTTACTGACAGTATAGTTGCCCTGTCCTCTGCCCATAAACACGTGGGAAGCCAGAGCTGCAGCACGGGACGCTGTGCTACCTCTGCTGCAGAAAAACTGGAAGGCTCCATGGTGGAGGCTGGGCCATGTCAGACTGAGTTGAGACAGCCTGGGTAATGTAGTGTTTTCTAGCCTCTGGCATGCAGCTAGACATCATATAAGGGACTCAGAATGAAAGGAAGTGAGCCAGTTGAACAAGGAAGAACATTTAAAAGAAAATCGCTACCATCTACTTTCACATCATTTTTAAAAAGTTTTTTTTTTTGTCTGCCCAAAACACAAAGGATGTTATCTTAGACTAAAAACTCAGGTAGCCACTATAAACTGATATGTAGATACATATATGTGTGTGCGTGTGTGTATGTATGTGTATCTTTGTTTCCACTGTGAATCACTGAAAATTTTATAGAAGCCACCTCGGGGCCAGGCATGGTGGCTCACACCTGTAATCACAGCACACTGGAAGGCTGAAATCGGTGGGTCACCTGAGGTCAGAAGTTCAAGATCAGCCTGTCCAACATGGGGAAACCCCGTCTCCACTAAAAAAAAAAAAATTAGCTGGGCACACCTGTAATCCCAGCTACTTGGGAGGTGGAGGCAGGAGAATTGCTTAAACCTGGGAGGTAGAGGGTGCAGTGAACCGAGATTGCCCCATTGCGCACTCCAGCCTGGGCGGAACTCCATCTGAAAAAAAGAACAGCAACAAAAAACACAACTGGGTCAGTCAGACAACCTTAAGGCCTTAGGGAAATCCTGCTTTACTGGGTTGACAGAAAAATGAACGAAAATGAAATTTAAATAAGTGATTTCTGCTATTTCTTAATTAGCCTTCCTGTGTTTGGGAGGGAAGAACCTGAAGTTACATATTGTTGTGTGTTATCTTTGATTATGCATGAATTTTAATCAGTTATTTATGCCTGCTTTTCTTTTTCCCTTCCACCCATACACCCATAGTTCTAGCATCTCATCACGGGCAATTGGTGGGGCCTGCACTCCCCAGGCTGTTGACTCCTACCCGCTAATCTCTGTTTTCCTGCTCTGCAGCTGTTGCTAGAACACCAGGATGCGTATCAGGCTGGAACCGTGTTTCCTGACTGCTTTTACCCTGGCATCTGCAAAGGAGGTAAGACGAAGGTTTGAGGACTAAATGAAGCCACTTTTACTTGGTTAATAGGAATAGCTATGACTGAAAATATATGGGTGTATTATGTATTTTTAATTGCACAGTATATTTTCCATTATTGTTGGTTAACAACTTCGTTTACATAGTTGCATTTTCCATTTAGCTAACACTGACCTGCTTAAGCATAGAAATTCTGAAAACTTTATTTTTTGGTGAAAACCTAAGTGGCATAATAGAAGACATTTTGCAAGAGATCAAAAGGTCTGAGTTTATGTTCCTTCTATATTAGCATGCAACCTTGAAAAAGTTGCTTATGCACAGAACCTCAATTTTCTTTTTTTGGCTTGCCATTTGTTTGCCTGCTTCTTCACTGGATTGTCCTTGTCATTAATGCACAGTATCTTCACAAGTGTTAGGCAATTCTCGGATAGTGTTATCTGTGAGAGTTAAAGAGGAAAGAAACATGAAGAAAGGCTTAACAGTCAAAGACAGATTTATTTTGAAGAAATAAACCTGAGAGAGGCTTCTGGCTGATTTTGGTCGGGAGTGCGCGCTCTCAGCACACTGAGAGTGCGCTAATCTACCCTGTGTTAGCCAGACAGACTCCATCTTGACCTCTGCCTCACCCCTCCTGCCCCTCCTCCCTTAAGTGCATACCTGGGTCTTGCTACTGTGCCGGGTCATGCTGTACTTAGAACTATCAAAACATATAACCTTTGTAACCACAGCCTGCTTGGCAAGCCCACTTGCCATTGCGAATGCCCCACCCCCCCATCGATCACATGACAAGTACCGAATACCCCCTTGGTACCTGGCAGTCATGGGAACCACGTGTGTATACCCTCTTTGAAAAATTAACAATCATGAGAACCTCCTGCCTCCTAGTTACCAGCCTCCTTATCTAAGTTGCTTGTTCTGCTTCTGTAAACTCTACTCTGACTAGGCTCCCCTTCACCTACCTAAATCAAGGTATAAAAGATAAGCCCCTTCCTCGGGCATACAGAATTTTGAGCCTTAGCCATCTCTCCGTCACTGACTAATTAATAACGGGCTCTCAGTTCAAAACAGAGCATGGCACTGTTCCATCTGACTCACCTGGGTACAACAGACCAAGAGTATTTATTGGTGAGAGAGCTTGGAATGTTTCTGTGTGGGGCAGAAGTTTATGGTGGGGTTGAAATGTCTCTGGTCAGAGGGAAAGTTACCTTGTTGCTGAACATTTCTCCCGCTGGAGGGGAGGTTGTCTCGGGGCTGGCAGGTCTCTGGTTGGGTGGAGGGGTTGGAATGTTTCTGGTTGGAGATGTTATTTGTGGTTTGTGGTTATGCTGACCCTACCCATTAGGCTGATACCCTTTGGATTTAGGCAGTTTTTAGTCAAGCTGAACTTGAAATGGCAGTGCTTGTCCAAGTTAACAATCCTTGTGCTCTGTCATAATCAGTAAATTAGCTTCATGGGTTGTATCAGTCCAGGCCCCAGCAGGAGCCAGAAGTTAGACTCAGACTGAGTAATTCAAGAGGAGCTTAGTGAGGGCACCATTTTCAAAGATAGAGACGGGAGGTGAGGAATTGCAGTTCAGGGGAGGGAGCGAAGACGGGAACCCTGGAGAGGGCGAGCTGCATGAAGAAGAGCACTTGACGAGAACTGGGCCTTCAGCTCAGTGGCATAGCCAGCCCACCGTGACGCCACACGAGGGGACTGGGAGAATAAATATCCCAACTTCAGAGTCTTCTTTTTTTAAACAAATTCCACTTCGGTTTTTATGCATTTTTCTACATCTTACCTTGTCTCATACATACCTAATTCAACTGTAGTTTTCTTTTTCTTCTTTGGTAATTCACTTTTATTTTATCTTTCAAAGACATTTAGCTTTCTTAGATACTTAATTGCCAAAGAAAAATCTCCTTTTGTTTTGAAAATAATGTATTTATATATTTTTTAGAGACAGGGCCTTGCCCTGTTGCCCAGGCTGGGGTGCAGTGGTGCAATCACAGCTCTTTGCAGCCTCAAACTTCTGGCGTCAAGTGACCCTCCTGCCTCAGACTTCTGAGTAGCTGAGACTGTAATAAGTGTGTCCCACCATACCTGGCTAATTTTTTATTTTTAACGTTTTTGTAGAGATGGGCCTTGCTACGTTGCTCGGGCTAGTCTCAAACTCCTGGCCTCAAGGGATCCTCCGATCTCAGCCCCCCAAAGTGCTGCATTACAGGCGTGAAACTACTGCACCCAGCAAACCTCTTCATTTGTATTAATTTACCTAATACTGAATTAGCTTTTATAATTACAGTAACAAGGACATCTGGTTTAAACAGGATTAGAAGTGGGTCGAATTGACCCTTTTGTGAGCTATAGTATAGACAGATAAGTTCAAGTCTCTAGGTGTGGCTTGCCAGCTGTCAGCCTTCAGCAGGCCCTGGGGGGACTTTAGCTTCCAGTCTATAGGATTTACAGAGGGATCAGAAAGCTTCAGTTCATCTGGCAATTTCTTTAAATTGAGGTTGTTCCAAAGAGCTCCTGCTGTATTTAATTCTGGAGTTTTACTGTACTCTGGAGAACAAGAATTGTTTGAAGCTTTATCCTAGGAAAACAGTCGGAGCGAATCAAACGTCTTGGTCCTAACTTATTTGAAAATCATTTTCAGAAAAACACATGATTTCATATGGCTTCGGCAGTTGTCACTTTAGGAACGGCATAGAGAAATTGAACCGAGGGATCTGAATTCTGCAGTTTTCCTTTTAGTTGTCCTGGTGACATTTGGCCCTCCATGAAGCATGTGTGGCTCTCGGAGGTTTAGCACAGCGGCCAGTTCTGTCTTTCCTACCCTTCTTGTGGGACACCCACTGGCCCACTCAAACGATGCTTGCATAAAATACTCGGGCCTGTGCTATTTTACAACAGTTATTCTACAATGAAGTGCTTGGAAGTGTGTGAAATATCTTTTATTTCTTGTGCTCTTAAGGAGGCTGACTGTGAGGGGCAAGGAAGACATTTTTTAAAACCCCCAAAAATCAAACCAAACCTCAGCTTGTTTCCTTACCTTCAGAGCACAGAAATGGAAACACTTGCAGCCTCCATTCTAAGCCGGTAGCCAGCCTTGAGATGCCGTGACCAGTCCGGGAAGAGAGCTCCATCCCTCTTCGTGTAGGCCCCTTTTAGTCATCAGGCCAGCAGTACCATGCCTCTTCAGAAGTCTCAGCTGGCTCTTTGGTTTGTTTGTTTGAGGCAGAGTCTCACTCTGTAGCCCAGGCTGAGTGCAGTGGCGCGATCTTGGCTCACTGCAACCTCTGCCTCCCGAGTTCCATTTCAAGCAATTCTCCTGCCTCAGCCTCCCAAGCAGCTGGGATTACAGGCATGTGCCACCAGGCCCAGCTAGTTGTCGTATTTTAGTAGAGACGGAGTTTAACCATGTTGGCCAGGCTGGTCTTGAACTACTGACTGCGTGGTCCACCTGCTTCGGCCTACCAAACTGCTGGGATTACAGGCATGAGCCGCCGAGCCTGGCCTATTTAAAGGCTTCTTTTGAATGTCAACAGAAGAAAGTGACGGGCAAGGAGGGAAAGAGAAGAAGGGACACAGCAGTGGGTGGTTGTGGAAAATTGGATTGACCCTCTCCAAGTTTTAAGAGAGAACCCAGAGTGCTGCCTTTTGTTTTGTCAGGAAAATTCCATGATGTGTCTGAGAGTACTCACTGGACTCCGTTTCTTAATGCAAGCATTCATTATATCCGAGAGAACTATCCTCTTCCCTGGGAGAAGGTAGGCGTGGTCCTCTAATTCTTAGAATATTTAGCACCAAACCTGCCTGGTACTGTTTTTGGACTTGCGTTTACCCCATTTATGCCACTCCGTAAGGGCTGCTCACCATTCCACCTTTAGTGTCATGTGCATTGCTTGGATGTAGTAGATGGTTAGCTAATGCTTGAATGATAGACACAATTTGAGATACATCTCTTCATCATTTAGCTCCGATAGTAATTAATCTGAAAGCACTTCCAAAAAACACATCACAAAACATTTCCAAAAGTCCTTTTGGGGGTGGGTGGGTGTGTGTGTGCGCGTGCGTGTGTTTTGTTTTGTTTGTTTTTTTGAGGCAGAGTCTCACTCTGTCTCCCAGGCTGGACTGCAATAGCATGATTTGGGCTCACTGCAACATCCACTTCCCAGGTTCAAGCAATTCTTGTGTCCCAGCCTCCTGAGTAGCTGGGATTATAGGCGTGAGCCACTGTACCCAACCTTTTTTTTTTAATAACTAGAAACTGCAATGTACTCACCTGAAATTTTTTGTTACTTTTCAATAATATAAATGAATTTATATTTATTAAAACTTTTAATAGGATTGTTACTATGAAATCACCCAAACACACATGACTCTAATTTACTTCTTTGGCAGGACACAGAGAAATTGGTAGCTTTCTTGTTCGGAATTACCTCTCACATGGTGGCAGATGTCAGCTGGCATAGCCTGGGCATTGAACAAGGATTCCTTAGGACCATGGGAGCTGTGAGTACATCCCTTTATGGGGAATGACTTTATGGGAGTCATACTGTCATACCTAAGATCCAAACCTGACCCTTTTAGAAGAAATGAAAATGTTAGGTTATTCAGACTTCTGCCCAAAGCACTGTTGGGTTGGAGGTCCCATCTTCTCCAGTTCCTTCCCTTCATTCATCTTGCCAGCTGTGTAGTTGCATCCACAAGAGCAGAGCGGCTGGTGTGTACTGAAGACAGGGATAGATGCAAGGTTTTGTTTTAGTCACGAAACTATTTGAGAAATCTTAGGTTTTATTCAAGCTGTGTCTCTTAATAAGGATATGAATACCTGCCACTTAGTTCTATTTAAAACTAGTATTTCTACCCTTTTGGACTTCTTGTTTTTAACTTCCTATATGAAAATGTCATATCCCCAACCTGAAAATTATGATCTTACCTGATGACTTAGCCTCTGGAAGGCCCCTGCTTAATGTTAATTACATTCTGTTAGAATGTGTGTTATATTTAATTGGTGATATTTATTAAACATTTATTAAACATATAAAATGTTGAATTGTTAATATGTATGTTTCAATATTACATTCTGTTAGAAATTTCAACTCAGAGATTGTCGTATATACTGTACAAGGCAGAATTGTCTGTAGTCGCTTTATTACTGTACGTTTGTGTCCAACTCGGTTGCCTAGAGATGTGTGTGTGTATATATATTCTAATAAAATGTTAGTGTGAAAACCGAGTCTATTACGCATCCTCAGCAGTTCACTGAGCTAGCTGTCGTCCCCCCGCCACCAGCTTGATTGTGGGAGTGAGAGTTGGGGCTACGATTTGTAATACACACCAGACGGTTCTCTTTCTTTCTCAGATTGATTTTCACGGCTCCTATTCTGAGGCTCACTCGGCTGGTGATTTTGGTACCGTTTATTTTATTTGCCAAATTTCCTCCTTGTGCTGTAGTTCACTGACGCTGAGATCACCACTGTGCTTTCAATGTGTGTCTTTAATATTTTGCCTGTTGCATGTATTCTCTGTCTAAGGCTGCAGTTTATTTAGAGACATACCTCATTTAACATAGAGATGTAGTTCTAAAAACTTGGGTTTGTGTACTTTTCGTTAAAAAAAAACTGCCTTCCATTGTTAACGTCATAATTTCAGAAAATCTTATACATTGGGTTAAAATTCATTAGCTAATGTCTCTACTCTCCTAATACTTTAGCCTTAAACTGGTGAACCCTGCCTTTTGTCTGCAGTAGTAAATTACTTTTAAAAATTTAAACGGGGTGGTAAATGGTGTTTAGTAAAAGAAGCCCTTGTGGTGTATATTTCCTTAAAGTAAAACAAAAAACAAAAAACACCTTTGGTTATATGGCTAATTCTTTCTTAATGTATATGCTTCACTAAGATGTTTACAAGTTGCTTTTCCTTTAAAAAAAAAAAAAAAAAAAAAAAAGCATGCCTTTACCTAAAACAGTGAACAAAAACATGTATTAATGTGAAAAACTAATAATCTGGCTTGGCAGACCGCATGTTGAAAGATGCATAGTATGTTTGTCACTAATCCACCAAATGTCAATATTTTTCTCATGCCCTAGGAGGAGATGTGTTGAGCCAGTTTGAATTTAATTTTAATTACCTTGCACGACGCTGGTAAGAGCAATGTACATTTTAAATCTGTGATATCTAAATGGCATTTAGAACCTTGACTCTTTTTCTTAGAAAATGTAACTTACAATTTAATTAGAAGCCTTCTACATTGGTAAATTATGAAAAGCAAAACTGTAGATTAGAATAGTCTGACTAGATTCTTGGAAAAATTGAACTCCACTGAATTTTGAATGGAGTAGAGTTGACGAGTCATAGCTTTACTTTCTCAAAACGATCATCTCAGCTTATGCTCCCATCAACTTTGTATAACCATTCTGCTGCTTCTGCATTCTCCAATACTTGGTATTGTCCAACTGTTAAAATTTTCCAGCCTGTTTGTGTATAAAGGTATCTCACTAAGGTTGCAATTTGCATTTCCCAGATTAGTAATGAGGTCAAAGTTTTCTGTTTTATGGATCATTTGTGTTTGATTTTAAGTGAAAACTTTTTCCAGTTTTCAATCTATTTTTCTGTTGGATTGCTTACCCTTTTTATTTATTTGTGAGTATTTATATATTCTGGCTTCTAATTTACATTTACATTTAAATATGTGATTTAAATATTTAAAATATTTTCTCTTGTCAGTTGGTCACTTTGTTGTTACAAATGTCTTTCACAGTTTGTGGTGTGTCTTTTCACTTATGTGTTACGTGTATGTTGACTAACAGAATTGATTAATTTTCGTGTAGTTGAATCAGTTTTTCCTTTCTAATCTGTACTGCTGATGTCTTATTTAAGAAATCCATTCTGGTTGGGCATGGTGGCTCATGCTTGTGATCCCAGCACTTTGGGAGGCTGAGGCGGGTTGATAACGAGGTCAGGACATTTGAGACTATTCTGGCCAACATGAGGGAACCCTGTCTCTACTAAAAATATAAAAATTAGCCAGGTGGGCTGGGCGCGGTGGCTCAAGCCTGTAATCCCAGCACTTTGGGAGGCCGAGGCGGGGGTGGATCACGAGGTCAAGAGATCGAGACCATCCTGGTCAACATGGTGAAACCCCGTCTCTACTAAAAATACAAAAAATCATCTGGGCATGGTGGCGCGTGCCTGTAATCCCAGCTAATCAGGAGGCTGAGGCAGGAGAATTGCCTGAACCCAGGAGGCGGAGGTTGCAGTGAGCCGAGATCGCGCCATTGCACTCCAGCCTGGGTAACAAGAGCGAAACTCCGTCTCAAAAAAAAAAAAAAAAAGAAAAGAAAATTAGCCAGGTGTGGTGGCGTGTGCTTGTAGTCCCAGCTACTCTGGAGGTTGAGGCAGGAGAATCTCTTGACCCTGGGAGGCGAAGTTTGCAGTGAGACAAGATCCAGCCACTGCACTCCAGCCTGGCAACAGAGCAAGACTCTGTCTCAGAAAACAGAAAAGAAATACGTTCTTAGCAGGGTGTGGTGGTCCAGCACCTGTAGTCCAATCTACTTGGGAGGCTGAGGTGGGAGGATCACTTGAGCACAGGAGTTTGAGGCTTCCGTGAGCTATGATTGTGACACTGCACTCCAGCCTACACAACAGACCCTGTGACAAGGAAAAAAAAAAAAAAAAAAAAGGAGGCCACGCTCGGTGGCTCAGGCCTGTAATCCCAGCACTTTGGGAGGCTGAGGTGGGTGGATCACGAGGTCAAGAGAGCGAGACCATCCCGGTCAACAGGGTGAAATCCCGTCTCTACTAAAAAAAAATACAAAAATTAGCTGGGCGCGGTGGCGTGCACCTATAGTCTCGGCTACTCGGGAGGCTGAGGCAGGAGAATTGCTTTAACCCGGCAGGTGGAGGCTGCAGTGAGCTGAGATTGCGCCACTGCACTCCAGCCTGGAGCCTGGCAACAAAGAGAGACTCTGTCTCAAAAAAAAAAAAAAGAAAACCCATCTACCCTGAGGGCAAATGGTTATTTTCTAACATAGACTTCTAAAGCTTTTATAGTTTTATTTCTTAGCTTTATGTCTTTTCATTTAACTAGAGTTAAATATTTGTATGTTCTGAGATACAAATCTAATTTTATTTTTTTCCTGTGGAGATAACGAATTGTCCCAGAATGATTTATCAATAGTCTACCCTTTCTCTACTGATCTGCAGTAGCTTCTCTGTTTTGGTTTTGTTTTCCTTTGTCTGATTTTTTTTTTTTTTTCCTTTTTTTTTAAGACAGTCACTCTGTTGCTCAGGCTGGAGTGCAGTAGTGTGTGATCTCGGGTCACTGCAACCTCCAGCTGCAAGGCCTAAGTGATCCTCCCACCTCAGCCTCTGCCTAGCTAAATTTTAGTGTTTTGTAACAGATGGGGTCTTGCCATATTGTCCAGGCTGGTCTTGAACTCGTGGGCTCAAGTGGTCCGCCTACCTTGGGATTGGCGGGTGTGGGGATTCTACAGGTGTGAGCCACTGAACCCCCTCTAGGTTAGAAATTCAAATGTTACTTGTATGCATGGGTCAGTTTCTGAGCTTTCTGTTAGGTCCTTTTGGTCCCCAAACAATACTGATTATTTGAATTGCTGTAGCTTTATAATAAGCCTTGGCCTCTGTTAGGGTGGATCTTTTAACTAACCCTTTTCTTCACAGTGCCTTGCCTATTTTTTGCCTTTGTTCTTTCAGATAAGATTTAGGTTCAAGTTGTCATGTTCTAAGAAAAACTTTGCTGGAATTTTTGATTAAGGGTTTATTGAATCTAGAGATGAATTGGAAAATTAACAAATTTGAAATAGTGAGGCCAGGCACCGTGGCTTATGCCTGTAACCCCAGCACTTTGGGAAGTCAAGGCAGGCGGATCATCTGAGGTAAGGAGTTTGAGACCAGCCTGACCAACATGGTGAAACCCTGTCTCTGCTAAAAATACAAAAATTAGCCTGGTGTAATATGGCACATGCCTGTAATCCCAGCGACTTGGTAAGCTGAGGCAGGAGAATCACTTGAACCCGGGAGGCAGAGGTTGCAGTGAGCTGAGATCATGCCACTACACTCCAGCCTGGGTGACAAGAGCAAAACTCTTGTCTCCAAAAAAAAAAAAAAAAAAAAAAAAACTTACATTCAAATAAAAAGATTTGTAAGGGGGCATAAATAAGATAACATCACTATTTATTTCTTTTTATCAGGTTGATCTACTAATTTTTTTGTTTTTAAATTTATTATGCTTTAAGCTCTGGGGTAAATGTGCAGGTTTGTTACATAGGTATACAGGAGCCATGGTGATTTGCTGTATCCATCACCCCGTCATCTACATTAGGTATTTCTCCTAATGCTATCCCTCCCCTTGTCCTCTACCCACCAAGAGGCCTTGCTGTGTGATGTTCCTTTCCCTGTGTCCATGTGCTCTCACTGTTCAACTCCTACTTATGAGTGAGAACATGCGGTGTTTGGTTTTCTGTTCTTGCGTTACTTTGCTGAGAATGCTGGTTTCTAGCTTCATCCATGTCCCTGAAAAGGATGTGAACTCATCCTTTTTATGGCTGTATAGTATTCCATGGTGTATATGTGCCACATTTTCTTTATCCAGCCTGTCTTTAATGGGCATTTGGGCTGGTTCCAAGTCTTTGCTATTGTGAACAGTGCTGTAATAAACATAGTGTGCATGTGTCTTTTTTTTTTTTTTTTTTTTTTTTTGAGACAGAGTCTTTTGCTCTTGTTGCCCAGACTGTAGTGCAATGGTATGACCTTGGCTCACTGCAACCTCTGCCTCCCAGGTTCAAGTGATTCTCCTGCCTCAGCCTCCTGAGTAGCTGAGATTATAGGCATGTGCCACCATGCTCAGCTAATTTTGTATTTTTTAGTAGAGACGGGGTTTCTCCATGTTGGTCAGGCTGGCCTGGAACTCCTGGCCTCAGGTGATCCGCCCACTTTGGCTTCCCAAAGTGCTGGGGTTACAGGCGTGAGCCACAGCTCCCAGCAACAAGTGTCTTTCTAGAAGAATGACTTACTATTCTTCTGGTATATACCAAGTAATGGGATTGCTGGGTCAAATGGTATTTCTAGTTCTAGATCCTTGAGGAATCTCCACCCTGTCTTCCACAATGGTTGAACTAATTTACACTCCCAGCAACAGTGATGTACTGATTATGAAATAAATTAGTTTAAAAAATTTCCCCCATGAGGGTAGATTTTTCAGTTTCTTACAGTTGTGTCAAAGTTTGTTTCAGTATATATATTTTGAAGATATATTATTAGGTACATCCAATTTCAAAAGGATATCTTTCTGGTGAATTGAGCTTTTTGTTGTGATGCAGAAACCGCCTTTATCTCTAATAGTTGCTGCATTGCATGAAAGTCTGCTTTATCCGATACGACAGGAGTTCTACTGGTCATGTTTGGTGATATTCCACGTTGCTAGAATAGGTAGGCTCAGGTTAAGAGCTGCTGAGATCGTGCCACTGCTCCAGGCTGGGCGACAGAGTGAGACTCTGACCCATCTGAAAAACAATAAAAAATACCTTCCAGGTTCCACACTACAGTGCAGGGTGTGGCACGTGTCCTCCGGGCAAAAGCTGATTGTCCCATTTGCTCACCTCTCAGGGTGTTCTGTTTCCAGTTGTTTTTGGCCTTAGAAAAATTTCTGCTGTCCTGCTAGCCTGGTGATTCATTTAAAAAAATATTTTCTGTTATTTTTTCTGGCCTTTTAAGCTGTTTTTATTGGGAATACCATTCCAGTGCTGCTCTTAGAAAAAATGAGTCTCTCAATTGTTTTTCTTTTACCTGCTAAAAGAAACCTACTAAAATCAGATTTTACTGGTTGTGATTTTTAGCTTGTTTATTCTAAGGACTTTTTTTTTGTTGTTATTCTAAGGATTTTTAAATTAAAAGATGATTCAGTATAAATCTGATTTTCAAATGCTGCTCCTTCCAACTGAACTAATATTTGTGAACCAAAAGCCTGATTGAGAATTGTTTTCATTGCTTTATACTGTAAACCAAGAAGCACTGGAGACAAGTCTCAATCAAATTAGGAAGTTTGTTTTTCCAAGATTAAGGACATACCCATGACATGGCCTCAGGAGGTCCCGATGGCAGCATGTGCCCAAGGCGGTCGGAGCACAGCTTCGTTCTCTATACATTTTAGGGAGACGTGGGGCATCAATCAATACATGTGAAATGGCTATTGGCTGGTTAGCTCAGTCGGTTAGATCGTGGTGCTGATGACACCAGTGTCATGGGTTCAGTTCCCTTACAGGCCACTTGTTTGAGATCGCCCCACTGCACTCCAGCCTGGGTGACAGAGTGAGACTCCATCTCAAAAAAAAAAAAAAAAAAAAAGTAAAATATCCGTTGGTTCACCCCAGAAAGATGGGACAACTCAAAGCAATCAGGAGGCTTCCAGGTCAGGTAGAAAAGAGACTTTCTTCCCGGTTTCCGATTAGTCTTTCACGAACACGCGGCTTACAGGAATAGTGTCACTAAGACCTTAGGCTGGCTTAGTGAAGCAATTGGGCAAAGGAAGCAATCAGGTACACGTTTGTGTCAGGGGAGCAGAGGGATGACTTTTGAGTTCTGTCTGTCCTTTGTCCACAGGAATTTCCTTGTGGGTAAATTGTGGGTAAATAGGTAGCTTTGTAGCAATCTTATGTAGAAATCGTTTGGGACTCAGGTTTGCCCTACATGGTTCCCAGCTTGACTTTTTTTCCCCTTTAGCTTAGTGATTTTGGGATCCTCAGATTAATTTCCCTTTCACAATACTTTTATTCTTGGCATACTTTTTTTGTATACTTTGTATACTCTGAAATTAAGATGTCAGAGCGAGGAGGCATTTTTATAATAGTGTTTATAATTCTTGGGAATAATTCAACTTGAAAGAATGAAAATACTTTACCTCTTGAACTCTGAATTCACAAAATTAAGCAGTCCTTTTGCACTTCAGTTTCCAATCTGTATACCTACATGAATATTTGATTAAGTTACCAGTTGTTTGCTCTGCGTCGTTGGGCAAATTGTTTAGCTTTTCTTTGCCTTCATAATTTCTTCTTATGTACAATGGGAATACAGCAGTACTAACCACCTGAGATCACTGCTAGGATTAAGTTAGTGCATGTAAAGACTTTTACAAGGTGTCTGGCACAAAATAATCCTGGAATAACTGTTAGCTGCAGCTGTTGTTACTGTTATTTTCAGCTTCAGAATCAAACAACTCTTATTTTATTCTGCATTTTTCAGGTACGTGCCAGTCAAAGACTTACTGGGAATTTATGAGAAACTCTATGGTCAGAAAGTCATCACCGAACGTGTAATTGTTGACTGTTCACATATCCAGTTCTTAGAAATGTAAGTAGAACTCAGAGGACAGAATGCAACTGATTTTGTTGTGACTTCCTTAGCACAGTTTTCATGTTTTAGTTTCCTGAGACTGGATTTTGGATTTAGGGATTCTGCTTATTGAAAGGCAGTTGCATGACAGTGGATATGGGTGGATGAAACTTGTTCTTCATTATTTGCTTCATTTCTCTATTAGGAACTGCAACTCACAGTCAAAATTATTGCTTATGTTGCAGGTACGGTGAGATGCTAGCTGTTTCCAAGGTAAAGGCTTCATTCTTCTAAATCTAAAAGGATGATAAAGGTACCAGCTATAATGCTATGTTAATTAATTTATTTTTCATTCTCTCTGCCATAGCTGTATCCCAGTTACTCTACAAAGTCCCCGTTTTTGGTGGAACAATTCCAAGAGTATTTTCTTGGAGGACTGGATGATATGGCGTTTTGGTCCACGAATATTTACAATCTAACAAGCTTCATGTTGGAGAATGGGACCAGGTGAATTAATATTCCATTTCTAATACCAGTCACTCCCTTTCTTTTTTACCCCAGGCCCCAACATAACTCTTGGGTTTTTCAACTGATCACATCAAAAGAAAACAAAACAAAAAATCTCATGAAGTGCTTTCCTAGCCTATTCAAAGAGAGAAAGAATGGAAACTGAGTCCTCTTATAAACCTGACTGGTTCCCATCTACTTGGCTTGGTTGATGCTGCTCGTGTTTTAGAAATAGACAGTGCAAAATTTGGGGTCTGCGAGAAATGGCTCATGCTCCATTTGTTTGTTTCTTTTTGAGACAGAGTCTTGCTCTGTTGCTCAGGCTGGAGTGCAATGTCATGATGTTGGCTCACTGCAACCTCTGTCTCCTGGGTGGAAGGGATTCCCATGCCGCAGCCTCCCAAGCAGCTAGGACTACAGGTGTGCACCACCATGCCAGGCTAATTTTTAGTAGAGACGGGGTTTCACTTCATTGGCCAGGCTGGCCTCAAACTCTGGCCTCAGGTGATCCACCTGCCGTGGCCTCCCAAAGTGCTGGGATTACAGGTGTGAGCCACCGCACCCGGCCTCCATTTGTTTCTTTTGGAAAAACCCATATTGGGGGCTGGAGTGCCAGGTCTCTGCAGGCCCCAGAGTGGCTGTGATGTTGCTGTAACCAGCAACAAGGGTGTGGTGACACACTTCTCTATCTTGAATAGATTCTTGGGTTTGAGGGTGTCAAAGGATACCTCACCTAATACTAAAAAAAAGAAGCAAACAGAGCCATAGCGACATGCCCTCCAACACACGCTCCAAAATAAAATGAGAAATAAATGCGTTTGTAAAACATTCTGTTGAAATTTGGCATCTAGCCCAGATGGGACAGCTGCTGAACCTGCAGTTCCTTTTCTTCTCCTAAGCATGCTCAGAACAAGTGTAAATCAGAGACTCAGCCCAAATACAGATCAGGTAGGCTGCGATTCTCCCCACTTATAGCTGTAGTAGATCATTAGACTCTCAGAGTCTTACCCTACCCCTAGATCAGAGGGAGCTAATGCTCCTCTGATACCTAATTTCTTTCCTTTTTTTTTTCTTTTAAGAACACATGGGTTTTGTTTTTTGTTTCTGAGACAGGGTCTTGCCCTGTCACCCAGGCTGGAGTACAGTGGCATGATCTGACTTGAAATCTGCCACTGCATTCCAGCTTGGGTGAACGGGCCATCTCCTGGGCTCAAGTGATTCTCATGCCTTAGCCTCAAGTAGGTGGCACCATAGTCTCATGCCACTGCATCCAGCTAATTTTTTGTATTTTTGGTAGAGACGAGGTTTTACCATGTTGCCTAGACTGGTCTCTACCTCCTGAGATCAAGCAATCCACTTACCTTGACCTCCCAAAGTTCTGGGATTATAGGTGTGAGCCACCACGCCTGGCTGATTTGAAACAAAATTCCATTCTATGGCAGATTCGACCTTCACTTACTATGTAACAAACTGGTTTCTAAGACTCAATGAGTCACAATTTGGCAGGGGTAGCAATCTCATATGTATGCCATTTCTAATAGTGAAATAAGCCTCACCTAAAATCCCCAAGCTCTCCTTGTGTGGACGTGGCTTCTAGGTGGATGCTGCCGTGGTTGTAGAGAATTTAAGAGACTTGCCACTCACTGCTGAATTATCTGGGACAAGTTGCTAAACCTTCCAAAATCTTATTTCCTCACCTTTGAGATTGAGACAGGAATACTATTTTTTTTTTTTTTGAGTCAGAGTTTCGCTCTTGTTACCCAGGCTGGAGTGCAATGGCGCGATCTCGGCTCACCGCAACCTCCGCCTCCTGGGTTCAGGCAATTCTCCTGCCTCAGCCTCCCGAGTAGCTGGGATTACAGGCATGTGCCACCATGCCCAGCTAATTTTTTGTAGTTTTAGCAGAGATGGGGTTTCACCATGTTGACCAGAATGGTCTCGATCTCTTGACCTCGTGATCCACCCACCTCGGCCTCCCAAAGTGCTGGGATTACAGGCTTCAGCCACCGCGCCCGGCCAGGAATACTATTTTTATCATAGGATTTTTGTGCGGAGTAGATTAGATCCGTCAGGTAAGGATTTAGCTTAGAGTAAGCACTTATTAAGTGTTGGTTACTATTATTATAATTATGCTTAGAAGGAAGCAAAGTTTGTATTGGAAAGGCTCATAACAGATGGGCATGTTTGAGTGATTGACCTGCACTTACTTGTCGTATATCATCCAAACTGGGAAACATTTTTTGGTGTTCGTTTTTGGTTTGGTTCTCCAAATAGCTAAGGAAAGATGTGTAGCTGGACCTTACTCTTTGATTAGGAAGAGAAACTGAGAAATAACATTTTTCTTATCTCTTGATGCCTGTTCTAATTTACCAAGGTTTAAAATTTCATGAGCTGATCGATTCTTTGCATACATCTACAAAGATTGGTCAGAATTTATGAATATTTATAGGAAATTCAGCGAAGTCTCCAAAAAGAGGCAACACAAATCAATTCATAACAGAAAGAAAAACATAAATGTTTTATGTTCTTATTAACGGCATTTCCCAGCTTACTAATGCTAGATGATCTTCCACACCACACTTAGGTTATTTGGAACTTACGGTATATTTTCCTAAAGAAGCAATGAAGTAGTGGCAGTCGCATTCCCAGCCAGAGCTCTGCTGACCTCAAAGTCTATTTGAAAGTGTAGCGCAAATGTTGTAAGACGGCCTTCTGCAGTCTGGGATGGAGAAGAAAAGGTTCAAAGAGAGAACCTTCTCCGCGGCTCAAAGTTGGCCAGATAAATGTTTTGGTAGGAAAAGTTTGCCTTCAGCTTTTTCCCACCCCCTGTTTGGAATTTCTTTTTCAGCAACTAATTTTCCTCACACCTCCACTCCACGTGACTGCATTACCGCAGCCTCCCTCAGTGACCTCCATATGCATCTTCTGAAGATGGTCTTCATTCCAGAACCCTCTCTGACGTTAATACCCGCTCCCTCAATGCTTCTGTTCCGTGCTGGGGGAGAGCCTCTAACGGAAGAGTTTATCTCTTGCATTCTGAGAGGCTTTTTCACTTGTGAAAGGGGATCCTTTATTAGCTATTTAATTAGTGAATTTATGGAATTTTTTAAAGAAAAGAAATTGAGAAATTCGGGCACATAGAGGCATAAATGTGCATAATTGGGCAGAAGGTGGCATAATTGGGATCCAGTTTTTATCACAGTCTCAAATTGGGAGACGTCTGATGTTAGCATGGAACAGCTCAGCAGGTGGAGTGGGGAGGGAAGAGGAAGGCTAAGACTGGCAGCGTAGGGCTGCCTGGGTTACCATGATAGTGACAGCTGTCAGCCTATTCACCCTCTCTGGGAGAACATGGGCTCTTAACTGGTCCTGTACGGCTAGAAAATGAACACTTTGTTATTAATATTTTTTTTAAAGATGGGGTTTCATCATGATGGCCAGGCTGGCCTTGAACTCCTGACCTCAGGTGATCCACCCACCTCAGCCTCCCAAAGTGCTAGGATTACAGGCGTGAGCCACCGCGCCCGGCGATAATGAACACTTCAAACTTTTGGGAGGTGGCTGAAGCACATGCCCGATTCTTGGTAAAATTCGTGCTCGTGAAGAAGTAGACAAATGCCTAACTCATTTGACTATTTCCCCAGTGACTGCAGTCTACCTGAGAACCCTCTATTCATTGCATGTGGCGGCCAGCAAAACCACACCCAAGGGTAAGTGGATTCCAAAATTGTTCATAGAAAGAGTACATCTCACCTGGAGGGGTTCCCTGTAGAGGCTGAGAGCAGGGGATATGTAGAGACCGTTGTAGGTTCAAATTCCAGATTTGCCACTTACAGCTGTGTGATTTTTAAACTAGCTGCTTGAATGTTGGAGCGGTAGCTTTCTCCTTTTGCAAAACGGAAAAAACGCATCAACACTCCCGGAATTGTGCAATAGTGGATGTAAAGCAATTAGCACAGAGTGAGTTGCTCATTAAATGGTAGTGGCTGGGTGCAGTGGCCCATACCTGTAATCCTAGCACTCTGGGAGGCTGAGACAGGAGGATCCCTTAAGTCCAGGTGTTCAGGACCAGCCTCGGCAACATAGAGCACTATAGCTACAAAAAATGAAGAAAATTAGCCAGGTGTGGTGGTGTGTGCCTGTAGTCCCAGCTACTTGGGAGGCTGAGGCGGGAGGATTGCTTGAGCCTCGGAGGTCGGGACTGCAGTGAGCCGAGACCACGCCAGTACACTCCAGCCCAGGCAACAGGGTGAGTGAGACCCTGTCTGAAAAAAAGAAAAAAGAAATGGAGTTGGTATTACAACTATCAATATTATTGTTGTGATCATACACTTTACCCAGGTTTCACCATGAAAATGTGTTTATCAGTGAGACAGTGTGGGGAGAAGCCCTCTGTAGTAAGGGCCAAAGATCTGTTTTTTCTTTTTCTTTCTCTTTTTGAGGTGGAGTATTGCTCTGTCTCCAGGCTGGAGTGCAGTGGCGCTGTCTTGGCTGACTGCAACCTCCACCTCCCAGGTTCAAGTGATTCTCCTATCTAAGCCTCCTGAATAGCTGGGACTATAGATGTGCGTCACCACACCCAGCTGATTTTTATTTTTATTTTTTGCATTTTTAGAAGATGTGGGGTTTCCCCATGTTGGCCAGGATGGTCTCGATCTCCTGACTTTGTACCTCCCACAATGCTGGGATTACAGGCATGAGCCACCATGCCTGGCCCACCTCGTATTTTAGGAAATGATACTTCCTGCTGCAGTAAAGCACCAACCACCAGTCATTTGTGCATTCATTGGATAATGTTATTATAAATAGATGTATATTAATCTAACAGTAGTACAAATAATAAAATACTGATCAGTGGGTGCCGGGAACTGGTTAGACACTAGAGATACCATTATGATGGTATTTACTAATCAGTAGGTGCCAAGAACTGGTTAGATACTAGAGATACCATTATGATAGTATTTGCTGATCAGTAGGTGCCGGGAACTGGTTAGATGCTGGAGATACCATTACGATGGTATCTGCTGATCAGGAGGTGCCGGGAACTGGTTAGACGCTACAGTTACCATTACGATGGTATCTACTGATCAGGAGGTGCCGGGAACTGGTTAGACGCTAGAGTTACCATTACGATGGTATCTACTGATCAGGAGGTGCCGGGAACTGGTTAGACGCTGGAGATACCATTACGATGGTATCTACTAATCAGTAGGTGCCAAGAACTGGTTAGATACTAGAGATACCATTATGATAGTATTTGCTGATCAGTAGGTGCCAAGAACTGGTTAGATGCTAGAGATACCATTATGATGGTATCTGCTGATCAGTAGGTGCCGGGAACTGGTTAGACGCTAGAGATAGCATTATGGATAGTATTTACTGATCAGTAGGTGCCGGGAACTGCCGGACGGTAGAGATACCATTGCGAAGAAGACAGAAACCGTTCCTGCTCTCCGGTATATGGCCTGGCAGGTAGACAGGCACTGAACGAGTAATGGTGGCCATCATTAAGTGTTAGGAAGAAAAATGCAAGGCATTCTGGGGATTTGCAACAGGGCATCCTGTCCTGGGCACAGGAGAGCTCTCCTTGAAGAAGTGATGGCCTAACTGAGGTATTTAAGGATGAACAAGAGTGGGATACTCAAAATAGAGTGTTGCAATGAAAGGTGCTGAGTAGAAGGATCTTAGTCCTTTGAAAGAATGAAAATTAGACAAAAGGTGCTGAGTAGAAGGATCTTAGTCCTTTGAAAGAATGAAAATTAGACGAAAGGTGCTGAGTAGAAGGATCTTAGTACTTTGAAAGAATGAAAATTAGACAAAAGGTTTCAGCGAAGTCCTCGTTGTTTTATTTGAATTGGGTGAGTTTGTTTTTTTCTAGCAAACCATTCCTTTAACAGAGTTGTGTTGTTTGTTAATCATGTTGAACACCTTTAGGTTAGGCTTGCCACCTTCAGGTTGCCAGAGCCGTGACACTAGCCGGTGTCTTGCCCAGGGCCCCATCACGTACGGCTTTGGTCTGTTCCCCACTGCTGTCATTTCTGAAGCCTCTCTGAGTCCTCCAGTTCCTCTGCTTTATGGCTGGTTGGCATCTCTAAATGTGGAGATGTATTTTTATCTTCAGTTGTGGCATGTCTTTGAAGATACATCAGTATTCCAGCTGGGTCGGTGGCTCTCGCCTGTAGTCCCAGCACTTTGGGAGGCTGAGGCAGACAGATCACCTGAGCTCAGGAGTTTGAGACCAGCCTGGCCAACATGGTGAAACTCTGTGTCTATTAAAAATACAAAAAAATTAGCCAGGCATGGTGGTGCATGCCTGTCGTCCCAGGCTACTCGGGAGGCTGAAGCAGGAGAATTGCTTGAACCCAGAGGCAGGGGTTGCAGTGGGCCGAGATCACCACTGCACTCCGGGCTGGGGGACAGAGCGAGACTTTGTCTCAGACAAACAAACACTATACCAGTTCCCCACCAGCTGATATCTGTTTCTTAGCCTTTTATGTGAAATACTGAAATACCTTTAATTTTTTCATAATCTGGAAAGAATTGAGGCCTTTTCCTCCTACCATAGAGGTCTGAGATTATATGAAATATTTTTACAAGGATAGGCTTTTAATAAAAGCCTTAGAAATGTATTTACTAAAAGATTTTGTGAAATGAAGGTTTTTCTAAAATTAGACTTTGTGTTGCTCCTTCAGCCTTCCTATGTTACGATTTTGTAGTCTTTTAACCTGTGATTAACATGACTGGATTCTTCAGCTCGGCTTTTCAGGGGTTATTTTCTCAGTTTAACCAGTTTGTTCCTCTTTCTCCTCCACAGCTCGAAAATGCAGAAAAATGATTTTCACAGGAATTTCACTACATCCCTAACTAAGAATACTGAGAGGAATATAAACTATACTGAAAGAGGAGTGTTCTTTAGTGTAGATTCCTGGACCCCGGTAAGAATTTTCTGCTCACGTTGAGAAAAAGGAATGTGGCTGCTTGTGATGTCTTGTTTCGCAGAGACCCTGGGTATTTATTTGTACCTTGAAAGTTATCTGTGGTGGGGTGTGGTGGCTGGGAGGCTGAGGTGGGAGGATCTCTTGAGGCCAGGAATTGGAGACTTATCTGGGCAACACAGGCCTTGTCTCTACAAAAAATAAATAAATGAGCTGGGTGTGACGGCTGTGCCTGTAGTCGCAGCTCTTCGGAGGCTAAGGCAGGAGGATTGTTTGAGCCCGGGAGTTCGAGGCTGCAGTGAGCTATGATCATGCCACTGCACCCCAGCCTGGGCTTAGACATATGCCAGGCTAGCAAATACTCTTGGCATCCATATGTGGTTTGTTCTGGAATGCCCTGAGTCTGCTCCTCAGGGGCCTCTGTCAAGTCAGGATGACCCTGGGCCCCCAGGCCGGTCCTGCTTTGGCCTTAGTCCCAGGGATGTTGGCAGTGTTGAAGGCTCACTGTGCATAGCCCCATTGTGTATGAAATCCATCAATGAAGCTACCTATGAAGTGAAGACATTCTACTGGGGGGATATCAAATGAAAGACACAAGAACTCTGACGCTTAGAAAATTTCAATCTAAAAGGAGTGACAACTCCAAAACTAACCATGATGTGAGCAGACTCCGACAAGCGCAGTCTGCAGTAAACGGTGAGGTAAGAGCTCGCTAGATAGCACAGAGAGTGGGCGCCGTGGCTCACACCGGGAATCCCAGCACTTCAAGTGGCCGAGGCAGGTGGATCGCTTGAGCTCAGGAGTTTGAGACCAGCCTGGGTAACATAATGAGACCCTGTCTCTGCAAAAAAATACCAAAAAATTAGGTGAGCATGGTGGTATGCCCTTGTAGTCTCGGCTATTAAGGAGGCTGAGGTGGGAGGATTGCTTGACCCTGGAAGGCAGAGGCTGCTGTGAGCCGAGGTTGCACCACTGCACTGCAGCCTGGGTGTACAGTGAGACCCTGACTCACAGAAAACAAAGGGAGAAAAGCTTCACCTTGAAAGCTGTCAGAGCAGGGTTCTTGCAGGAGTTGGCATTTGAGTTAGGCCTTGGACAGTAGGTAGTATTTAATCAGTGAGAGTACATTTCTGTTAGGGGGTTGGGGAAGTTTCAGGTGTTGGGAAATCTGAGTACTGTTATTTGCCTGGACCACAGGGCAAGGGATACGAGCTACTGGGAGAGGCTTAGGAAGCAAAGTAGGCATTGGATTGTGGCTCCTAATGTCAGAGAAGGGTGTAGACACCTTTGTGAATGGGGTCTCTGGGAATTGGGGACGGGCCTGGTTTAGGTTTAATGATCCACTGTCACTGCCTTAAAATTCTTGAACAATTTTTTTGTTGGTTTGTTTTTGTGACGGAGTATGTCTCTGTAGCCCAGGCTGGAGAGCAGTGGCGTCATCTCAGCTCACTGCAATCTCTGCCTCCTGGGTTCAAATAGTTCTCCTGTCTCAGCCTCCTGAGTAGCTGGGATTACAGGTGCCCACCACTATGCCCAGCTACTTTTTGTATTTTTAGTAGGGATAAGGTCTCACCATGATGGCCAGACTGGTCTGGCACTCCTGACCTCAGGTGATCCACCAGCCTCGGCCTCCCAAAGTGCCGGGATTACACGAGTGAGCCCCCGCGCCTGGCCTTAATAATTTGTTAACAAAAGGCTGCACGTTTTAATTTTGCCAGGCCTCCTTAAATGATGTTGCTGGTCCCAGACCAGGGGGACATGACTCTGTCAAAGCACATGTCATTTCATCTTGCCATATTTGGATTTTCTCCTTTGAAAAGAAATGAATTGTCTAAAGAGGGAATTTATGTTTGCAGTGTCTGTCATGGTGCCTGGCATACAGTAGGAGCTGATTAATTGCTTCCTGGATGAATGAGCAAGTCAGAGCTGGGCTTCAGCATGAGGCAGCCTGTGCATGGCCTACCAGCGAGATTAGAGTGGGCAAAGCAGAAGGTGTAGTCATGCCGGAAAGAGCCCCGGAGCCTGTGCTTTCCCTCAGCCTGTGCCATCTGGGCTGCCTTAATGTTGTGAGCCGACTGCTCTGCTTGGAGCAGACTCAGCACTCTGTTTGGTCTCATGTCACTCTTGAGTAGATGCAGAGTTGTGTCCCCTTAACTTGGATGGAGCTAGTATCTGGCCAGCTTGCTCAGGGCGACTCTAGTTTGTGTTGTTGACTCTGCAGTAACCACGTTAAGAACGATTCAGCACCCCAAGCTGACCGGCTTGCTGTCCCCCTGATTCTCTGGTAGATGGCTCCTAGCACTGTGCGTGTGACCTCTCAAGCCTGCCTGGCAGCAAATACAGCCACATCTCAACTTGGGTGTGATTTGGAGGATATCTTTGGCATCCTGGTGTTACTCCAGTTTGTTGGTTTAAAAAGTACATATATACACAAATAGAGTTCTGGTTGTAGAATGAAAGGACTTGTCTTTGTTGTTGTGGAGGCAGGGGCTCATTCTCTTGCTCAGGCTGGAGTGCAGCGATGGGATCTCTGCTCACTGCAACCTCGAACTCCTGGACATAGGTGATCCTCCCATTTCAGTCTTCCGAGTAGCTGGGATTACAGGTGTGCTCCACCACACCCGGCTGATTTTTTGTATGTTCTTGTCAAGATGGGGGGTTCACCATGTTGCCCAGGCTGGTCTCAAACTCCTAGGCTCAAGTGATCCTCCTGTCTCAGCCTCCTAAAGTGCTAGGATTACAGGTGTGAGTCACTGTACCTGGCCAGACTTGTCTTGTAAAAAATTTTAGTCCACTGGGCACAGTGGCTCATGCCTGTAATCCCAGCACTTTGTGGGGCCAAGGCAGGTGGCTTGCTTAAGGTCAGGAATTTGAGACCAGCCTGGCCAACATGGCGAAACCCCATCTCTACTAGAATACATAAATTAGCTGTGTGTGGTGGTGCGCACCTGTAATCTCAGCTACCAGGGAGGCTGAGGCAGGAGAGTTGCTTGAATCCGGGAGGTGGAGGTTGCAGTGAGCTGAGATTGCACCACTGCCCTCCAGCCTGGGTGACAGAGCAAGAATTCTTTATCTGCATGCTGGTCCCCGCCTCTGAGGCTGTAACTCTCCCATCCCTCAGCATTAGCATAAGGCACTGTCGTAACTGCCTGTCGGACGGGATCGACGTGATCTTACTTGCTGATAGGAACTAATGTTCATTGTTTAGCACTTGTGAAAACTCACTTCCTTCATACACGTCCAATTCTTTGGCTAGGAAACAGTAGCTTTGTTGATGATGCCATGTGTCTTTACTGTCTGATTCTTTTATTTCAGGATTCTGTGTCCTTTATGTACAAGGCGTTGGAAAGGAACATCAGGACCATGTTCGCAGGTGACTCTGAGCTGTCACAGAAGCACGTCTCCAGCCCCTTGGCCTCTTACTACTTGTCGCTTCCTTATGCAAGGCTTGGCTGGTACGTTTAAGTTTATCTCACTTGTGAGTGTTTTCTTCAGTATTAATTTTATTCAGTCATTATGCAGCTGTTTTTTAATTTCATTTTATTTTTGAGACGGAGTCTCGCTTTGCTGCCCAGGCTGGAGTGCAGTGGCGTGATCTGGGCTCACTGCAACCTCCGCCTCCCAGGTTCAAAGGATTCTCTGCCTCAGCCTCCCGAGTAGCTGGGATTACAGGCATGCGCCACCACACCTGGCTAATTTTTGCGTTTTCAGTAGAGACGAGGTTTCACCATGTTGGCCAAGCTCATCTTGAATTCCTGGGCTCAAGTGATCCGCCCACCTCAGCCTCCCAAGGTCCTGGGATTACAGGCATGATTCACAGCGCCCAGCCCTTTGCAACTGTTTTAAATGGCACGTGTTAGCACCTTGTTTGCCAATCAATTTATCAGCAACAAAAGCATTAACTTATTTGATTTTTAAAATTATGTTTTCTATACTAGAGATGGGGTTTGGCTTCGTCATCCAGGCTGGTCTCAAACTCCTGGGCCAAGTGATGCATCTGCCTCAGCCTCCCAAAGTGCTGGGATTACAGGCATGAGCCACCGTGACTGGCCAAAAGCATTAATTTAAGGGTTAAGTTACTGTAACAACGAAATGATCTCCTTAAATTTGGTCAAATGTGTTTAAATACAAGGATGTTTTGGTTTACTAAATCACAACAATTAAGGTTTATTTTATGGAATTTTTGCAAAGCTGTGATGTTCCTGGAGATGTACTGTTACAGATTTCTTTCGTAATCTAATAACATTAGAAGCATGGAAGCAGATAGCTGTTGTAGTGATTTAAATATTATAACTTCATATGGTCAAAGCTGACATACCGTGATAGTTTTATAAAGAGAATGTTAGGAATTCCTCTGATTTTAAAATCAACCAAAACTAAGCTCCCCCCATGAATAAATAAAATCAAAACAAAACAGCAACAACATGCAAAACCAAGCCCAAGTACATAAAAGTGACTGTTTTCTGGAGGTTTGAATGAAGGCTTTTTTTTTTTTTTTTTTTTAAATCACACCCCTTAATTCCAAAGGGCATTGCCCTTCCTCGGCACAGTTTCCTGACAGCCGTTCCTTTCGGGGCCTCTGTGCCTTCAGCTCTAGGGCGGGAGACAGGGGCAGGGAGGGGGGTGAATGCTGTCTTCACTGGTCGTTCACTTGTGAGTAATGGCTCTTCTTGGCCACCTTCCTGAAAGATCCAAAAGGCCTCCTGCTGGGCTGGCAGCCACACAAGGACAGCTAGCCACAGCAGTGTCCCTAGGGCCATTACTGCCCAGCACTGAACCTCCAGAGTGCAGAGAACAGTGCAGTGGACGCCCTGGTGTCCCTGCCGCCCCCACCAGCCATCACGGCCTTAAACAAGTGCTCTTGCGTTTTTCCTTGGTTCTGCCATTTGTTCTTTATGTGGCAATAAGAGCTAGAATAAAAAAGTGACTTCTGGTCTTTCCGGCCCCATTCGTGGCACCTGAACCTTTGGCTCGGCTTACCCAGCTCTGTAACTGGTGGCTGGTGGCATCTCATCTAGGAGCCTCTGCTACACGTGTTGGATACTTGATCTGGCCAGTAGCAGCTGCCTGTGTGGCGATGGTAGAAGCATAGTCTGTTTCACACCGGCTTGTCTTTGATCAGGTCGCACACTGAAATGAGTTGAGCAGATCAGAAAGCCTGCGCCGGGGCGGGAGGGGCTTGGCTGGACTGCATTTCCTCTCTGCTCTCAGGCGCCCTGGCTTGACATGTAAGATGGGAAGCTTCATGAGGACACTTTTCATCCTCTCGGGCTGTGTGGTCCAGAAATCCCTAGAGGCCTTGATTTGTCCATTTTTATTGTATTTTTCCCCTTAAAGAATGAGACTGAATCACACAAACAACACAACCTCAGAAGCAAATATTCACAACAGTCAACACAGGGTGGAAAAGTCAGTGAGAGAAAATTAACGTACTGGGCTGTAGGAAGGAAAAGCAGGGAGAGAAAGTTGACGTGCTCAGCTGTGGGAAGGAAAGAAGCAGGAGACAGCTTCGCCCCTCGTGCTCAGTGTGCACCATGGCGGGTCCCTTCACTTCTCTAAGGGCAATGACCTCAGCTGACCTCAACCAGGATGGGCACGGCGACCTCGTGGTGGGCGCACCAGGGTACAGCCGCCCCGGCCATGTCCATGTCGGGCGCGTGTACCTCCTCTACGGCAGTGGCCTGGGCCTGCCCCCCATCGACCTGGACCTGGACCAGGAGGCGCACGGGATCCTTGAAGGCTTCCAGGTGAGACACCGTCTCATGCTTTCTCTTCTAGTGGTCAGTAGCCACTGCTTGCATTTTGTGGCAGATTCTCCAGGATGAGTAACTAGTAACAAGAATAATTACAGTAACAAACAGCTGGTAGTGTACAATTGTGAATCGCTTTTTATTTTTAAAAGCATGTTCACATCGTTTGTTATTCTGTCATTACTCTAATATTTACCTTCCAAAAACACACATGCTGTTGAGAAATGCTTTGTGTGGCCAGTTGGGATGTGATTTATTGATAATATAAAACCCCTTTACACACACACACACACACACACACACACACACACACACACAATGTATATATTTGTGAAACTTTTTTTTTGAGACGGAGTTTCGCTCTTGTTACCCAGGCTGGAGTGCAATGGTGCAATCTCGGCTCACCGCAACCTCCGCCTCCTGGGTTCAGGCAATTCTCCTGCCTCAGCCTCCTGAGTAGCTGGGATTACAGGCACGTGCCACCATGCCCAGCTGATATTTTGTATTTTTTTTAGTAGAGACGGGGTTTCACCATGTTGACCAGGATGGTCTCGATCTCTTGACCTCATGATCCACCCACCTCGGCCTCCCAAAGTGCTGGGATTACAGGCGTGAGCCACCGCGCCCGGCCCACGCCAGACCTTTCTTTAGATTTTGTTCTTTTGTCCTATGTGGTTATTCATCTTCTGAAAAAACCTGCAATAATTACAAACGTTGCTGGTGGAGTCCAGGTGTTAATTCCTCCCAGGAATGCCAGGGTCCTGGAAAGTGTTTCTAACAGCAGAGGCATTAGTTTTTGTAACAGCAATAAGAAGGGGTAGATAGAGCCCTGCTGCTAGTCCTTGACAAGGGTGGGGCTTCTGGTGACACTGGCCTGGCACTGCGTTCTCTGAGTGTCAAGCGCCAGGGGAAGGAACCCTAGACCTCTGGTCAAATCATGGGGACTCTTCTTCCAGGCAAGCCGATTAACCTTTCGCTGTGATGTTAATTCTGTGAAGAGAAAATAAGACGGCACACCTGAACATGCTTTTTCTTTTTTTTTTTTGAGATGCAGCCTCACTCTGTGTTGGCCAGGCTGGAGTGCAGTGGTGTGATCTTGCCTCACTACAACCTCTGCCTCCTGGGTTTACGTTATTCTCCCGTCTCAGTATCCCAAGCACCTGGGACTACAGGTGCGCACTGCCATGCCTGGCTAATTTTTGTATTTTCTGTAGAGACGGGGTTTCACCATATTGCTAAGGCTGGTCTTGAACTCTTGACCTCAGGCAGTCTGCCCACCTCAGCCTCCCAAAGTGCTGGGATTATAGGTGTGAGCCACCGTCCCCAGTGAACCATGAACACACTTTGAAAAATAAGTGCAATGGTTTATGATCCAGTTTAGGCTCTGATGAAAGGAGCTCTGAATCCAGCATGTACGAGGAAGGGACTGGCCATTACATCAGGTCACAGTCTCAGAGGGACAGCATTTATCAGAGCTTTCTGACACCAAATGAAAAATTTCCAAAATAAATCTATCTAATCCGGTCGCTTCTTAGTTCTCTACAAAGCCTTTCCCCGTCAGACTGTTGTGCAAAATATAAAGCTTTGGGCGCGTGTGAACAGGGAATAAGAGAGGCAGCTGCTTCTGGTGGGTGATACACTCTCTCAAAGACCACTTGGGTGAGGAGGCCAGTGGCTCCATGCCCTCCTCCCCGAATGACCTTTGATGATTTCAAAGATGGCAAGATAGAGGCATGGACCAGGGATAGGAATCCTGCCTGCAGGCCCTGACCGAGATGAGCGTCTCCGTGTCCTCATTTACACGATGAAGGTTATGACGGGTATCTCAAGACCTTGCCTGATTTAAAATTCTGTGCTCCTCTTGCAATGCTGGGCTGGATGGTGCAGCTGATGGTGATGTAATGAACCAGTTCTCACTGGCAGGGCCCCAGTTACTGGTTCCCACCCTGCCCTGGTGTGTTGTGTTTATCAAGTTTCTACCTTATAGGAAAGGGCAGTACTCATAGATGCCATTGCCCATGGGTGTGCAGAGATTAGCCAATAAATAATGAACCTGGGTCGTTGAGCATGGGCATTATGTGGCAACCACCACTGTGTGTGAAAGGCCGTTGATTGTTACCTAAGTTGTGAATGAATTGCATTCAGGTCGAGGCCGATTCCAGACAGTAGGAAAAGAACGAAGTAGAAAGTCATCGCTCCCTGAAGAGACTGAGCTTCCCATCTGTAAGCTGGGAAAGGGTGCTAACAGTTCCCCCCTTAATCTGCTGAAACAGCCTGGAACAGCGTCTGCAGCAGCGCCGTCCTGCAGGGCTTTCCGCACTGATAGGACTGTCCTGTAGCTGTGCTGGCTAGTGAAGGAGACAGAAAACACAGGCTTTGAACATTTGAAATGTGGCTGTTGCAACTGAGAAACTCAATTTGTAGTTTTTTTTTTTTTTTTGAGTTGGAATTTCACTTTTGTTGCCCAGGGTGGAGTGCAGTGGCGCCATATCAGCTCATTACAACCTCTGCTCCCCCAGGTTCAAGCAATTCCCCTGCCTCAGCCTCCCAAGTAGCTGGGATTACAGGTGCCCACCACCATGCCCACGCAGGGCCAGAAAGTGAATTTTTAATTATAATTAATGTTAATTACTTTGAATTTAAATGTAACAGTCCTCTTTGGCTGGGGGCTCCCACCTTGGGTAGCATGTCTCTGGAGCATCCTGAGTATTCAACAAATGTTAGCTACTGTGGCTGATGTCGTATGATTGTTATTTTAGATACTTATTCTTTTCGAGATGGAGTCTCGCTCTGTTGCCCAGGATGGAGTGCGGTGGCATGACCTTGGCTCACTACAACCTCTGCTTCCCAGGTTCCAGCGATTCTCCCATCTCAGCCTCCAGAGTAGCTGGGATTACAGGCATGTGCCACCACGCCCAACTAATTTTTGTATTTTTAGTAGAGACGGGGTTTCACTATGTTGGCCAGGCTGGTCTCGAACTCCCGACCTCAGGTGATCCACCTGCCTCGGTCTCCTGAAGTGCTGGGATTACAGGCGTGAGCTACAGTGCCCAGCCTATTTTAGATACTTTCAAAGATAAGTTTGGTGCTTAATGTGGGTCAGAACATACACGAGGCTATTTTCGACAAACCTAGAACTTGTAAGTTCGACCCTCTACTTTCTGGCATCTTTGCTTCTTCTCAAGGCAGACAGACATGCTGAAAATATGCTTAGGGCAGAGCTCCCTAACCGATGTATTGTAGATGTGTTACGGCTTGCTGCACCTTTGGCTTTTGGGTGGCACTGGGGTTTTCCCCAGGCCTCTTGCCACCCTGGGAGTCAGGAGTGCTGTTTCCAAGGACGTGGCTCAGCCTAGGGGAAGTAAACTTGTGCCTCTTCAGCCCTCAGGTCGGTTTGGCTCGGCCTTGGCGGTGTTGGACTTTAACCAAGATGGCGTGCCTGACCTGGCTGTGGGCGCTCCTTCCGTGGGCTCGGACCAGCTCACCTACAAAGTAAGGCTGCTGCTGGGGTAGGGCTGGAGGAGAATGGGGTGGGCAGGGAGGGGTCTGAGGAAGGCCAATGGTGGGGTGAGCTTCTGGAGCAAAGCAGACAGCCAGTGTGGCAGCCAGGGCATTTGTTAGTAGATGATCTCAGGCCTCTATGGGCTTCTTGCCGTGACCTTGAGTTACCTTGTAGCTCCTGCTGCTGCCTCCCTAGCCTGATTTGGCCCTGTAGGTTCCCAATTGCACCAGGTATTTTGTTCTTTTTTTTTTTTTCCTCCCCCACCATGCTGAAGGCCAGTGAAGGGAGACAGAAATCCCAGCTAATCTGTAGTTTCTGGTTATCACACAAGGGAGGTGACTTCCCTGAGCCTTTCCTCAAATGCTTCATCCAAGCCTGTTGCCTGCTGAGATCTTGGGCCCTGGTCTACAGGGCTGGCTTTATACTATAGCAGGGCCCACACATCCGGGAGCCATGTGTGACCACGGAGGCCACGGGCCTCGCTTGCTGGCTGCCCTGCCCAGGCTCCCCTCTCGCCCTTCTTACGCTCCATTTCTAGACGTGCCAGCGCCTGTCACATCCTGAACTCATCAGGCTCCCTGACTTCGTGATCTTTGCTTATAGTTTCCTCTGCTTGAAAAGTGTCTTCTCCCATGTTTCTTTTTTTTTTTTTTTTTTTTTTTTTTTTGAGACGGAGTTTCGCTCGTTACCCAGGCTGGAGTGCAATGGCGTGATCTCAGCTCACCGCAACCTCCGCCTCCTGGGTTCAGGCAATTCTCCTGCCTCAGCCTCTTGAGTAGCTGGGATTACAGGCACGCGTCACCATGCCCAGCTAACGTTTTTTGTATTTTTGGTAGAGACGGGGTTTCACCATGTTGACCAGGATGGTCTCGATCTCTTGACCTCGTGATCCACCCGCCTCAGCCTCCCAAAGTGCTGGGATTACAGGCTTGAGCCACCGCGCCCGGCCCTCCCATGTTTCTTTAGGAGTGACATGCCACTTCTTGCAAAAAGCATCATCTAACTTCTGGGTGAGGCTGATGCTTCTTTGTCCACACACAGCATCCTGTGCTTGGACCTGTTAAAGCTCCTTCTACCATGGGTGTCATAATGACCTGTGTGCCTGCTTTTCAGGAGGGCAGAGATTGGTCTTACTTGCCATTGTGTACCGAGTACATGGCTTAGGATGGAAAAAAAGTGCTTAGGAATGAATGGGGATGGAGACAGGCAAGGTATAAGAGGAACGGATTGATAACACGGAATAAAACAGCTCAGCCTGTATCCTCAGGTGGGTGAATGGTACACATGTGGTGTGTTGGCATTGAGATGTGCCATGGGTACAAGGGGCTGCAGCCCGGGAGGCTTCATGGGAGAGCCCAAAACTGCTGGGCCCGAGGTGGGCACAGAGCTGAGTGAGTCACTCTGCAAGCGCACTGCACACTTGGTGTGGAGGATCCTGAGCAATACGCTGGGGAGGCAAAGAGGAAAACAGCATCATTTCTGCAACGCGGACTCTTAGTCTGATGGAAGCGACAGATTTAAAACAATTCCTTTCAGCCCAGCAGCAAAGCAGAGGACGGGTTTCTGTCTGTCGTTAAGTTCCTAGTCATCAGGGGCGGTGATAAGTTGACAAGGTCTTGCTTTAATTTAAAAAACAATCTTTTGCTGAGCGCGGTGGCTCACGCCTGTAATTCCAGCACTTTGGGAGGCTGAGGTGGGCGGATCACCTGAGGTCAGGGCTTCGAAACCAGCCTGATTAACATGGTGAGACCCTGTCTCTACTAAAAATACAAAAATTAGCTGGGTGTCATGGCTGGCATTCGCCTGTAATCCCAGTTACTAGGGAGATTGAGGCAGGAGAATCGCTTGAACCCGGGAGGTGGGAGTTGCAGTGAGCCGAAGATTGCCCCATGGCACTCTGGCACGGGCAATCAAAAAACAAGAAACAAAAAAGACACCAATTTTTTGTGGACACAGGATCTCACTATGTTGTCCATCCTGGTCTTGAACCCCTGGCCTGAAGCGGTGTTCCCACTGCGGCCTCCCAAAGCACTGGGATTATAGGCATCAGCGGCCATACCTGCACCCAGAGTCAGTCTGTGCTGTCTCGCCGCTATTTAAGGTTCTTGGGTCACCACCAGCGCCTCATGTCTGTCTGCTGTCTGTCCTTATTTAGGGTGCCGTGTATGTCTACTTTGGTTCCAAGCAAGGAAGAATGTCTTCTGCCCCTAACATCACCATCTCTTGCCAGGTATGTTGACCACTTCAGCCAGGCGCAGAAGCCTGGGACTTGCATCCTAGCTGCCACCAGGACTGGGTAAAAGGTGCTTTCCTGGTTTCCTCTTCAGGACGTCTACTGTAACTTGGGCTGGACTCTGCTGGCTGCAGATGTGAATGGAGACAGTGAGCCTGATCTGGTGATTGGCTCCCCCTTTGCCCCAGGCAGAGGGAAGCAGAAGGGAATGGTGGCTGCGTTTTATTCCGGCCCCAGCCACAGTGACACAGGTAGTGCCTGATGGGGGAATGGGTGGAGACCGTGGCCGCTGTGTGTACAGTAACTTACCCTGCACACAGGTTGATGTCCTTTTTTCGTATTCCGCATCATTTCACCAACATTTTCACACAGTCTGTTACTCTTAAAGACGTTCTGGCATGTGATGTGCATAGATTCACTGAACATACAAAAAGTGACCCACAGCTTCTAGGCAGAGACCCAAAGAGGGCAAGTAGACTGTTGTCACAGTGTCTCCACGTAAAATAGAAACACTGAGGAGGCTTTGTACCAAAAGCATCTCACAGGTGCTGTCGACTGTGCCTTTTTTTTGGGGGAGGGGGGGACAGAGTGTCCCTCTGTCACCTAGGCTGGAGTGCAGTGGCATGACCTTGGCTCACTGCAGCCTCTGCCTCCTGGGTTCAAGCAATCCTGCTTTCTCAGCCTCCCAAGTAGCTTGGACTACAGGCATATGCCATCACACCCAGCTAATTCTTGTATTTTTAGTAGACATGGGGTTTCACCTTATTGGTTGGGCTGGTCTTGGACTCCTGAGCTCAGGTGATGTGCCCCCCTTGGCCTCCCAAAGTGCTGGGACTAGAGGCATGAACCACCACACCTGTCCCAGGGCCTTTCTAAATAACATCTTCGGCTCCACAGAAGCTTTGGAAATGGATTTCTCATTTTTGACGTTGGGGTCCTGGGATCATCATAAGGACATATAAGACTTTCAGCGAAAACTCAGCAAAGTGAACCCATTTCTATTAGGCTGCAAAAAGGACCCTTTTTTTTTTTTTCATCCTAGTAGTCCTCTCACTTAAAGTATTAACAAAAGGGACGGGTTGTCTTCTTTAGAAAAACTGAACGTGGAGGCGGCTAACTGGACGGTAAGAGGCGAGGAAGACTTTGCCTGGTTGGGATACTCCCTTCACAGCGTCACCGTGTACAACAGAACCTTGCTGCTGGTGGGGAGCCCCACCTGGAGGAATGCCAGCAGGTGAGGCTGGTGCTGAGGCCTGGGACCCGTGAACACAGGGGCAGGCACCTGCTGCTGTGGAGCCCACTGAGTGTGGGGCGCAGGGAAAAGGGCGAGGAAATGCTTGGCCTTTGAAGGAAAGGGCAAGGCTCTGGACAAGGTTGCAGATTCTCCTCCGTAGAAATTTAAAAATACAATAGGCAAGTGTATTATTGGCTCTCGGTTCTGGAAGTTAGAAGTCCAAGATCAAGGTTGAGGTCAGAGGGTCACTTTCTCCCGAGGCCTCTCTCCTTGGCTTGCAGATGGCTGTCTTCCCTCTGTGTGTGACCCATTCCCCACTTCTATTTTGCTCTTTTTGGAGGAGGGGGTGTGGTTCACTCTGTTGCATAGGCCAGAGGGCAGTGGGTGATCATAACTTACTGCAGCCTCAAACTCCTGGGCTCAAGGGATCCTCCTGCCTGAGCCTCCTGAATAGCTGGGATTACAAGTTTGTGTGCCCATGCCTAGCTTTTTTTTTTTTTTTTTTTTTTTTAATTTAAAAACATTTTTGTAGGGATGGGGTCTTGAAATGCTGCCCAGGCTGGTTTCAAACTTGCCTCAAGGGATCCTCCTGCCTCTCCTCTTCTTTGAAAGACACCAATTGTATTACATCAGGGTCCTCATCTTAATCACCTCTTTAAAGATTCTGTCTTCAAATAGAGTCACATTCTGAGATACTGGGGGTTAGGACTTCAGCGTAGGGATGGGGGGACCACAGCTGAGTCTCTAACAATAGGTACCTCTATACTTGCTGTCAGCTGGGAGGCAGGGTGGGGGTTGAGGCACCTGCAGAGCCTGGATGTAGAGAAGAACTCCGACAGTCCCGGTCACAGGGCCAGAGACCCTGCTGGGAGGCCTGGAGCGGGGAGGTGCATTTCCTTCCCTTGCACCTTTGCGCCGGGCCGGCCCTCAGTGTCGCTTCCTGGCAGCCAAGCCCAGTGTGTTTCCTTGTAGGCTGGGCCATTTGCTACGCATCCGAGATGAGAAAAAGAGCCTTGGGAGGGTGTATGGCTACTTCCCACCAAACAACGAGAGCTCGTTTACCATTTCTGGAGACAAGGTATGGCAAGCCTTCCCCCACAGCGAAGTGGACACACCAAGGAAGCTTTCTCTGCTATACAGTATTGATTCATTGCTTCTCACAGGCAATGGGGAAACTGGGTACTTCCCTGTCCAGTGGCCGTGTGCTGATGAACGGGACTCTGACGCAGGTGCTGCTGGTTGGGGCCCCGACACACGGTAGGTCGTGCACCCTGACACCCCGCTTCCTTCCACTCACATGGCTTCTTGTACACGTCCTGTTGGAGGAAGGGTACCAGATCTGCAGCCGAAGAGATCTAGGTTTAAATATTTCTTTTTTTCATTAATAGCAATTTATGTAACTTTGGGGAAGTTACTTAACCTCTCAGAACTTTGGGATCACCATCTACAAAACTGAAATTATAAATACCTATTTTAGGCCCACTGCAGTGGCTCACACCTGTAATCCCAGCACTTTGGGAGGCTGAGGTGGGAAGATCACTTGAGGTCAGGAGTTGGATACCAGCCAGGCCAACATGGTGGAAACTTATCTCTACTAAAAGTAAAAAAATTAGCCAGGCATGGTGGTGCACACCTGTAATCCCAGCTACTCAGAGGCTGAGGCAGGAGAATTGCTTGAACCCAGGAGGTGGAACTTGCAGCAAGCCACGATCAGGCCACTGAATGCCAGCCTGGGCAACAGAGAAAGACTTCATCCCAAAAAAATAAAATATCTATTTCAAAGGTTTGTCGAAAATGACGTAAAGTAACTTAGTGTGTATTAAAGCCCCTATCCCATTGAAGTTGGAGCTAGAGAAAAACTCTGTAAGTCAGTTCACTAGGAATAGGTTTTTTGAGACAGCAAGACTGTCTCAAAAAAGAAAAAAAAAATGGTCCTCATAGTAGAGGGGAGCAGCAGTGCTGTTACGGCTCATGGCAGCCCTGACCTCCTGGGCTCGAGTGATCCTCGCACCTCAGCCTCGAGTAGCTGGAACTGCAGACATGTATCAGCCACCACATTGTCTAATATTTTATTTTTTATAGAGACAGTGTCTCACCATGTTGGCCAGGCTGGTCTCTAGCTCCTGGGCTCAAGTGGTCCTCCAATCTTGTCCTCCCAAAGTGCTGGGATTATAGGCATGCTGCACGGTACCCAGCCCTGAGGACATAGTTTAATAAGTCATTATTCTGTTTACTTTATGGGAAAGAAAGTCTTTTTTTGAAAAAAGAACAAAAACTGTTCCCAGCCGGGCACGGTGGCTCACACCTGTAATCCCAGCACTTTAGGAGGCCGAGGCGGGCGGATGACGAGGTCAGGAGTTAGAGACCAGCGTGGGCAACATGGTGAAACCCTGTCTCTACTAAAAATGCAAAAATTAGCCAGGCGTTGGTGGCATGCACCTGTAATCCCAGCTACTCGGGAGGCTGAGGCAGGAGAATCACTTGAACCCCCAGGAGGTGGAGGTTGCAGTGAGCTGAGATCACACCGCTACACTCCAGCCTGAGTGACAGAGCAAGACTCTGTCTCAAAAAAAACCCAGAAAACCTCCAAAGTATTCCCTCCTAGATTATAAAGGTGAATTATGCTTACTGTGGAAATCTGTGAAAATACGAGGAACTATATAGAAGGAAAAAAAATCACTCCTTCCACAAAAATTTAAAAACTGAAGCTTATACTATTTATGATATTGTCATGCCTGATTTTTTGACTTGTTTTATATCTTGAGCACATTCTCAAGTTAGTAAATACTCTTCTAAAACACGATTTTTGACATCTGTATTGCATTTTTTTTCATGCCAACATTTACAAACATCATCCTGTTGCTGGATTTGTAGGTTTGTATCCTATTTTTACGCTATTGTGAATAAGGAAATTATTGAACACTCAGGTACCTGATCTTTGACTACCTTTCTGATGAGTTTTTTGGATAGATTCCTGGAGATGGTAATTCCTGGAGCAGAGGATCTAATCTTTTTAAAAGTTCTTCTTGTATATCATCAAACTATTTTTCAGAAAGACTTTTGTTTCATGCCATATGGGAAAGATTTGAGTAGTAACCAGAAGCGGATCGGGCAGGCCGGGCACAGAGGCTCACACCTGTAATTGCAGCACTTTGAGACACAGAGGTGGGCGGGTCACTTGAGGTCAGGAGTTAGAGACCAGCCTGGCCAACATGGTGAAACCCTGTCTCTACTAAAAATATAGAAATTAGCCAGGTGTGGTGGCATGTGCCTGTAATCCCAGCTACTCCAGAGGCTGAGCCACAAATAATTGCTTGAACTTGGGAGGTGGAGGTTGCAGTCAGCTGAGATTGTGCCATTGCAGCCCGGGTGACAGAGTAAGACTGTCTCAAAAAAAAAAAAAAAAAAAAAGGAAGTGGATCAGGCAAAGGAATGGCTCAATTTTTCATTGAATTGAGGACACAGCATTAAAACAACAAAAAAGTGCTGACTTAGCTTTGGCATCTTTTTTTGCTTTTCAGAGTCTAGGGAGTGATTTCTGAGCTCTTGCAACACACATTACTAACTTGATTTTCTTCATCACTCTTTCTACCCAAGTGTTGTGAATTAGAGTTTCTCAAACTTCCTTGGCTTTGGTGTCTTTAGTCTCTTAGTAATTTTTTTCCTATTCTAAAGTATAATACAAAATAGAAGACCGGGTGTGGTGGCTCATGCCTGTAATCGCAGCACTTTGGAAGGTTAAGGTGGGAGGATCACTGGAGTCCAGCAGTTCAAAACCAGCCTGGGCAACACAGTGAGACCCTGTTTCTACAAAAAATTTTAAAAATTAGCCAGATGTGGTGGCATGCACCTGTGGTGCTAGCTATTGAGGAGGCTAAGGTGAGAAAATTGCTTGAGCCCAAGAACTTGAGACCAGTCTGGGCAATATAAGGAGACCCTGTCTCTACAGGGAAAAAAAATAGTAGCATGGTGATGGTGCACGTGTAGAGCTACTCAGGAGGCTGAGATGGAAAGATCACTTGAACTCAGGAGTTCAAGGCTGCAGTGAGCTATGATCACATCACTGCACTCCAGCCTGGGTAGCAGAGTGAGACCACATTAATAAAAAAGTTAAACTTTTTTTTTTTTTTTTTTTTTTAAATTATATTTTTTATATGCACATATGTTATAATTTAACATATGTACATAACATATAAGTGTATATTATATATGTAACATATATACATGTACAACATATATATACATTAATGTCACAATCAGCATATTTATATATTTCACCCGCATTGTTCAGATTTTCCTAATTTTACTTGTATTTCACCCACACAATTTGTGGGGCCCAATTCCAAATAAAAATGCAGGACCCCTTGTTAAAAAATTGTTGACAATTTGAAGTCAGAGACAGGACAACATAAAGACAGGCATAGGACCTTTCCAATGCAGCGCCTGTGTGATGACATGGGCACACACCCTGTATTTATGTCCTAACCACTTAGCTCCTCTGGGCACTGTACAGCTTCTGTGAGCTTGGAATCAGGTGAGACATAACTTCCCTCATTTGGTAATCCACCGCAATTTTTGCATAGTGCCTGCATTTGATCACACCTTTCCTGAGCATGCAGCTTTGCAAAGATGTGGCATCACTGAAAGGAATGCAGGGCTCTCATGTTGAAACTGTGACCAGCCTCCACCTTGTAGTTCATGTGGTATCAGACAGATGTCACTGTTAGCTTTGAAATTTCAAAAGATCTACAGCATCTCTGGGAGTTCGCTGAAGCACTTCAGTGTGCAGTTTGGGAATTGGAGCTGTAAGGCACAGATTAATCTAAATTTGAGAATTTTGATTTTTTTTTTTTTTTTTTTTTTTTGAGAGGGAGTCTCTGTTGTCCAAGCTGGAGTGCAGTGTTTTTAGTAGAGACGGGGTTTCACCATGTTGGCCAGCCTAGTCTCAAACTTGTGACCTCAGGTGATCCGCCTGCCTCCACCTCCCAAAGTGCTGGGATTACAGGTGTGAGCCTTCATGCCGGGGCTTAATCTCCTTTTAGGGGATCGCCTGAGGACGCTATTCTGGAGTCTGACTGTGTAGAGAGCTAGTTCAGATAGTCCCGTCCCTGACAGCCTGTCCTCTGCCTTTGTCTCAGACCCTTGGGTCAGTGGTGGCCACTGCATGTAGCAGTTAAAATATTTAGCAGAGATTTTAGAGTGCTGAGTAATCGCTCTGAAGTTTTTCAGGATGAAAGAGGTAGCAGCGATGGCAAGGCTGAAGTGAGATGGGCACTCTGGCACTGATGGTACAATGTAAATTGATAAACCTGTCATAGAAAGAGGCTTGATGAAATGACAACAGCCTTGAATCCTTTGAATCCTATATGCACCACTTCTATGTATCTGTTCTAGGAAAGTATTTAGGACTGTGGGAAAGAATATTTACCACAAGACAGTTCATCCTCTATATCCATATTTGTGGGTTCAACCAACCATTGGCAGAAAATATTTGAAAATACAATGGATGGTTGACTCTATCCTGAATATGTATAGAATTTTTTCTTGTCATTTTTTTCTAAACAACATGGTATAACAATTGACATAGTATTTACATTGTATTAGCTATTATAAATAATCTAGAGATGATTTAAAGTATAAGAGGATGTGCATAGGTTATACAAATACACTGTATCTTAAATTTTTCTTTTTTTTTTTTTTTTTTTTTTTGAGAGCAGAGTCTTGCTGTATCACTAGGCTGGAGTGCAGTGGCATGATCTTGGCTCATTGCAGCCTCTGCCTCCCGGATTCAAGCGATTTTCCTGCCTCAGCCTCCGAAGTAGCTGGGACTACAGGTGTGCATCACCACACCTGGCTAGTTTTTGTACTTTTTTTAGTAGAGGTGTGCATCACCATGCCTGGGTATTTTTTTTTTTTTTGTATTTTCTTTGTATTTTCACCATGTTAGCCAGGCTGATCTTGAACTCTCTAACCTAAGGTAATTCATCTGGCTAGGCTTCCCAAAGTGTTGGGATTACAGGCGTGAGCCACTGCAACCGGCCACTACACCATTTTATATCAGGGACTCCTAGGTATCTGTGGAAGGCTCTGGAACCAGTCCCCCTGCATACAGAGTAATGGCTGTTCTTTGCAGTAACAAAAAGCCAGACATAGCCTAAATGTGGAAAGAATCAGATTTAAAATTTTATAATTGACAAAATCTCCATTTTGTTTAAAATGTGTGTGTATAGATACCTGCCTACCTACCTGCCTCACTCCGTCTCCAGAAATAAATATATATAGTATATAAATCTTCTTTATGCTTTTTTTTTTTTTTTTTTAAAGAGATGGAGTCTTTTTATGTTGCCCAGGCTGGCCATGAACTTCTGGGTTCAAGTGATCCTCCCATCTCAGGCTCACAAGCAGCTGGGAGTACAGGCATGTGCCACCGCACCTCGATCATGCTGCTGCTGCTTTTTTTTTTTTTTTTTTTTTTGAATATTTTTCACACTTTTTAGAATGATCAAATATAAAAGGTCTTCTTGATACCTTCATAGTTTTGACTCTTTTGCAGTAATCCAGAAAGCCAGTGACATTAAGTAACTTAGAGTTGATAATTTTTCTTTTTAAGTGATAGGGCCTTGTTCTGTTGCCCAGGCTGGAGTGCAGTGGTGTGATCACAGCTCACTGTAACCTTGAACTCCTGAGGTTAAGTGATCCTCCCACCTCAGCCTCTTGAGTAGCTCAGACTACAGGCACGTAGCATCATGCCCTATTTTATTTTGTAGCAGTGGGGGGTCTCACTGCATTACCTGGGCTGTCTTGAACTCAGGATCTCAAGTGATCTTCCTGCCTCGGTCTCCCAAAGTGCTGGGATTATAGGCATGAGGCACCATGCCTGGCAGGTTTATGGTTTTTCTGAGATGCAGGTATGAAGCACATTACAAGATGACAGCCTCTTTCCTGTGGCTTTCAAAAGAACAGAGTTGGTGAGATGCACCTGTGTTTTACAATAGTTCTGTTTTCTGCTGCCTCCACTGGAAGAAAAGTTCTACTTGAGAAGTAAAACATTGTGTGTATTTAAAAAATACTTGCCACCCCCACAACCCAAACATAACCCTAGGCGCTAGTGCTTATGGGAGAAATGAAGACAACATAGAGGTCTAAAAGATAATGGTCCTTAACTGGAAGGTTAAGCATTACAGAAGGAATTCTATGTTACAGCAGCAGTGTAGAATTTGGGAATTCATAAAGCCCTCTGCACGTAGCCCTTTTAAAAGCCAAAGTTCTTTTGAATTACTTTCATTACTAAAATAATATAGAAATGCCTACAACAGTACCTTGAGTTTTTTCTCCTTAGTTGTCTAAATGTGTATGATAATCCATTGTTTAATTTGCATGATTCAGTGGGTGAGGTGTTTTGAATGGCTGAAGTTTCCAAGTGTCTATATTCTTCTAATTCTGAAGAATGAAAAAAAAAAAACACTTTGAAATTATTTTAAATTATATTCTCTTCTTTAACAGAGTGTGATGCATGTTAGAGACTTGGGAGTATTGATTAATCAGAACTCATCCTCATCCTTGTGCATTTCAAATCATTTTCAAAGTAGACTCATGAATCATTCAGATGGATATCAAAATATATACCTCTGAAGAGCTGACATAGTTGGAGTAGAGAACACAGTCTCAATGGGCAGCCCTATTCAGGATTTCTAATTCTTGCTCCGAAAGCCAGACCTTGGGGTGGCTTCTGTGAGATTCTCTCATGTGCAGTGGGACCAGCGTTCACCCTGTGGGTGGCAGGGCCAGAGGGAGAAGCCTTAAGCACCTTCCTGCCTGTGGAAGAACTGAGGCAGGGAGTGGACAGAGCTGGAAGTATATTACTGTTTTCCTGGGTGCTCCAGGGAGCTGATGGTCCCTTTAAAAAGCATGAAAAGAAAGGGAATGAAGATTTTTCTCTCATTTCAACTTTTCTTGATACTTTGGGCTTTCACTCTGAATATTAACTATCATACTTGATTGGCACATTGTTCTCTTAGGAGGCATTGTGTCAGGTGAGGTTGTTTACCCTGTATCAGAAAGCTCCAGATTGCTGAGCTTTTACGAATACTGTTTGTTATTTCCTACTGTTTTCTTGCTATTATTTCTGACTTACTGGTGACTCTGAGCTCTCAGTGGCTTCTAGTGAACCGTTTCCCATAAACAAGGCACAAGTTTGTCCGGGGGGGGGGGAAACACAGGTCAAATTAGCTCAGTTTTACACACAAAACTCTGGACACTGATGTGAGATCATATCCATGTGCTGACACTTTGCCAGCATATGGCAGACTTCTCAGAGGGCACCAGCCACGCCAACCCACAGGTGACACTGATATTTCTGAAATCAAAGCTGCGTTCCAAATAAGAGTTTACAGTGAAATTCCAACAACTAACTTAGTCTGCTGAAAATTTATTAAGTCAGAAAACATTTTATTAAAATATTTGTACAGGACCAAGCACCATGCTAGGTACCGTGGACAGAGACGTGACCCCATTGCTTATGGAATGTTCGCCTAAGGCAGGAGACACAGAGGTGAATCCAGAGCGATGCTACGCTGCTGTGGGTATTGGGAAGGCACTGGGCACAGCTCATGTCCACTATCAAATGTTTGCCTGAACTCAGAGGTCCTGGGGTCAGGACACAATCACCTGCCCATGTTTTGTGGGCCCCAGCTTGTTGCAGTTCTTGGAGTTCTGCAGCATTTGTGCCCCGAGCTAAAGTCCCACTGGACTTGGTGTTACATATGTTAGCACAGGGAAGCCGCCTCTGCTGTAGACCAGGGAGGTTAGGAAAGGCTTCCCAGAGGAGGGCACACCTGAGCCAAATTCTGCTGGATGAGTAGTAGCCGCCAGCAGAGGGATGTGGGCAGGGGAGCAGGAAGGGTGTGTGCCTCTATTCCAGGCGGAGAGCACGTCATGTCCGAAGGCCCAAATATAAGACAGAATGGGCTGGGGTTTCAGTTCCTTACAGTGAAGCATGGGTAGAAGAGTTAGTGGTGCTAGGTCCCCAAGTGGGAGTCAGATTGCGTAAGGCCCTGTGAAGAGTTTGGCCTCCATCCTGAGACCACATGTGTTTGGATGTGTCAGTCATGGGGGTGACCTGGGCAGTGTGTGATGTGAGAATGTAAAAGGATGGTTGTGTGGAAACTGTATGATGGGGATAAGACTGGAAGAAAGAATACCTGCCTGGAGGGAAATCACCGAACGTCTCTTGTGTTTGTGCTATGGTGCCCGAGCTGGTTGTACCTCTCTGACTGCTGGAATTGACCAGCACTGAAACGGACACTGTGGTACGATCCCGTGTGATCGGCGTCACTTGAGTGAGATGCTGTTATGTGTTCTGTAATGCCTTGATTTTTGTGAGGCCAGAATTGTGGTTCCTTTCAGATGACGTGTCTAAGATGGCATTCCTGACCATGACCCTGCACCAGGGCGGAGCCACTCGGATGTATGCGCTCACACCCGACGCACAGCCCCCGCTGCTCAGTACCTTCAGTGGAGACCGCCGCTTCTCTCGATTTGGTGGCGTTCTGCACTTGAGCGACCTGGATAACGATGGCTTAGGTAAGACAGGAACAGGACCTGTTGCCAAGGAATGAGTCCCTTTGCCCAGCAGACCAATCTCCTAATTGGATCATCTGGGCTCTGCCCTTATAAGTGACAGCCCAGTGGCCAAAGGACCTTTAGATAGATCTTGAATCAGATGAGATGGGAGAGGGAGTTGCACTCCTTCAAGGTGATGAGAATGACCTGTGGTAATTGCTGTTGATGAATGAAGAGGGAACAAAGGCTTTTGCCAGGATGAAATCAGGGCAGACTAAAGGAGACAGTAATATTACTTGCACGAGGTTGGGTTAGGATCCCGTAGCGGAACAAGGAAAGGGTGACAGGAGTCAGACCCTTCTGTGGGTTTTTGTTGTTTACAGATGAAATCATCATGGCAGCCCCCCTGAGGATAGCAGATGTAACCTCTGGACTGCTTGGGGGAGAAGATGGCCGAGTTTATGTATATAATGGCAAAGAGACCACCCTTGGTGACGTGACAGGCAAATGCAAATCATGGATAACTCCATGTCCAGAAGAAAAGGTAAAGTGTTGTATACAATTTATACCTTATTGGGAAAGGATCACTGATTGCTGATCCCTCGTTAACTCATGTCCCTTATAAAATGCTTACCTGAATTCAGAGGTCCTGCGGTTAGGACACCATCGCCTGCCCATATTTTGTGGGCCGCAGCCGCCTGTAGTTCTTACAGTTCTGCAGTGTTTGTCCTCAGAGCTAAAGTCCCACTAGACTTGGTGTTAAGTAGGTCCCTGGTCACAGCCTGCCACTTCTTGGTCAGGTGCCCACAGCACAGAAGAAAACAGGCCATAGCCATTGGAGTTCTTTTTTAAAACAGAGACAGGGTCCTCTTCCACCGCCCAGGCAGGAGTGCAGTGGTGCAGTCATGGCGCACTGCAGCCTCGAACTCATGAGCTCAGGTGATTCTCTTGTCTCAGACTCCTGAGTAGTTAGGACTACACACATGTGCCACCACACCTGGCTAATCTTTTTATTTTCTGCAGAGATGGGGTCTCATTATGTTGCCCAGGCTGGTATTGAACTCTTGGGCATAAGCAATCCTTCCACCTGGCCTCCCAAAGTTGCTGGGATTACAGGCATAAGCCACCATGCCCGGCCAGTCACTGGAGTTGCATTAAAGCTTTATCTATTTTGCTTTTTGTTTCATTTCTTTGTTTATTCCTTTTTATGGGTGAGTTTCCTTAAGTTACATTTCCTGGGCCTAAAACATTTGTTCATTATTTGACTTTTTTTTTTTTTTGAGACAGTGTGGCTCTGTTATCCAGGCTGGAGTGCAGTGGCTCGATCTCAGCTCACTGCAACCTCCACCTCCCAGGTTCAAGGAATTCTTCTGCCTCAGCCTCCTGAGTGGCTGGGACTACAGGCACATGCCACTCTGCCTGGCTAATTTCTTGTATTTTTAGCAGAGACAGGGTTTCACCATGTTGGCCAGGCTGGGATTACAACCCAAAGTGCTGGGATTACAGGAATGAGCCACTGTGTCTGGCCTATTTTTAAATATTTAATTTTTTTTAAAATAGCAAAATTATCCTGCTATAAGTCTTAATATAAAAAGTCTAAAAGAGAAAAATATGAAAACAAATAAATTGCAAAATTAGTGAAAATTTACTATGAAAATTTTAGAAAATACAAAAACGTACAAAGAAGAGAGTTAAAAATTATCTACCTAAAATTCCACTCTGTAGAGCTAACACCTGTTTAGAATGGATCCTGCTAGTACTTTTCCTGTGAATGTAATTACTACCATTTATTGTGCACTTAGTATGTATATGCTAAGAACTAGGTGTCATTCAATCCACATATAAGCTATAAAATTAACATTATGCCCCTTTACAGAAAAGAAAAATTAAAGGGCTGGGCTCGGTGGCTCAAACCTGTAATCCCAGCACTTTGGGAGGCCAAGGCGGGTGGATCATGAGGTCACAAGAGATCGAGACCATCCTGGTCAACATGGTGAAACCCCGTCTCTACTAAAAATACATAAAAAAAAAAAAAAAATAGCTGGGCGTGGTGGCATGTGCCTGTAATCCCAGCTACTCAGGAGGCTGAGGCAGGAGAATTGCCTGAACCTGGGAGGCGGAGGTTGCGGTGAGCCGAGATCACGCCATTGCACTCCAGCCTGGGTAACAAGAGCGAAACTCCGTCTCAAAAAAAAATTAAAGATCTCAGGGGAATGTGGTGGCTCACGCCTGTAATCCCAAGCATTCTGAGATGCTGAGGCAGGAGGATCCCTTGGGCCCAGGAGTTCAAGACCAGCCTAGGCAACATAGGGAGACCCTGTCTTAAAACAAGAAAATTAAAGATCAGAGAGGAACTTTATCCAAGTTTCCACTGCCAGGAAGGACGTGGCACAACAGGGACTTGAACCAAGCTCTGATTGTAAAGCCTGCTCTTAAGTATTACAATATGTCTGTGGATGTTTTGGTTAAGAACTGTGATCCTAGCCGGGAGCGGTGGCTCACGCCTGTAATCCCAGCACTTTGGGAGGCCGAGGCGGGTGGATCACGAAGTCAAGAGATCGAGACCATCCTGGTCAACATGGTGAAACCGTGTCTCTACTAAAAATACAAAAAATCAGCTGGGCCTGGTGGCGCATGCCTGTAGTCCCAGCTACTCAGGAGGCTGAGGCAGGAGAATTGCTTGAACCCAGGAGGCGGAGGTTGCAGTGAGCCGAGATCGCACCATTGCACTCCAGCCTGGGTAACGAGCAAAAACTCCG